AGAAATCATAATATGTAATTGAGAAATTGTAACTTGTAATTGAGAACACATAAATTAAAATAGCAAATTCACAGTCTAAGTTTGTAGGTTGTTACAAAAGGTCTTTTTGGACATGAATTTAAGTTATAATCTTAAATTTTGCTTTTGTATGCACAAGTAATAATAATGGAATTGAAAGATCGTTGTGTTATATGCCAATACACTATGACCCGAAAGTCTGTGATTAAGCTAAATCCGTGTCAACATTTATGTCACCAAATTTGTTTACGTCCAGTTCTGGAACAACCAGATTCAAGTTGTTTAATTTGTCGGCATTAAATACACGCAACTGCACAAGTTGAAAGGAAACGTTACGTTTTATCTTCTCCAAATGACAAGAGAAGAGTTGTTGAATGTGCGGAGCGCTTTGAAGATTGGGTGAATCTCGCGCAAACGCTAGGTATCAAATATAAGACAGCATACAACTGGGTTCGCAGCGGAAATTCAAATTTCATCGGAAAAGGAGGTTTTAAACCGAAAAAGTTGACCGAAGGTCAAATCGAAGAAACATTAACATGGATTGAAAATGATTGTCAATTAACATTGGTGGCCATCAAAACAAAGATATTAAGACAATTTAACATAAACGTTAGCACAACAACAATAGCAAATTACCTCGAAGGCAGATTGTTCTCATTAAAAAAAGTGCACAAGGAGCCTTCTACAATGAACAGTTATGAAAACAAACAAAAAAGAGCTGAATATGTTAGAAACATCAACGAACATATCACAAATGGTCGTCAGATAGTTTGGTTGGATGAAACAAATTTTAACCTTTTTTGTAGAAAAACGCAAGGACGCGCGAGACAAGGAAAAAGAGCAATTATGAAAGTTCCTGCTTCAAAAGGTTTAAACATACACTTGATCGCAGCTATTTCAACTACAAATGCCGTCATGATAGAAACTCGCAGGGGATCATTTAAAGCAGATTCCTGTAACGAGTGGATGTTGGCTATGTTTCACCAGTGGGTTACATCCGGGAATCGTTTGGAGGATTTGGTCGTCGTAACAGATAATGCTCCTTGTCACGCTCGTTTGCAAAGGGTGTTTGATAATTCACCAGCTCAGTTGTTACGTTTGGGACCTTACAGTCCAATGTTGAACCCGGTGGAAACGATCTGGTCCAAAATTAAAAGTAACGTTAAAAATGCAATTCGCATTCCACCTGTATTAGGTGACGAGATTGCGGAACAGCGCATGCAGTACTTAGAACGAATTGTAATTGAGGCGAAAAATACTATAATGGGAGGAGATTGTGCACGTGCGGTACAACACACAACCACGCACTATGCAACTATTTTAAATATGGAAGACGTACAAGTTGGTGCTTAAATGATCAATGAAGTGATTTTTAATTATATAATTTTTAATTATAATTTTTAATTGAATTATAAATTTTTCCCTAAAATGTTTTTAGTGTTTATTATGTTAAATTCATTTGCCCAAAAATTATAAATTTTTCCCTAAATTTTTCCCTAAAAAATTAAATTTACGCTACAAATCTTGCATCATTTTTAAGTGCGTCATTTTAGACGCTCCATTTTTTTACGCGCCATTTTTTTTAAGCGTCATTTTACACTTACTCCTTTAAAGCGATATCTAAATTAAAATTTTCGTGTTCTCAATTACATCTTTCTATTTCTTAATTACAACTTACATTTTCTCAATTACATGTTACGATTCTTAATTACAATTTTCGTTTTCTAAATTACATCTTATGTTTCTTAATTACAACTTACGATTTCTCAATTACATCTTACGTTTCTTAATTACAACTTTTGTTTTCTTAATTACATCTTACGATTCTTAATTACAATTTTTGTTTTCTCAATTAGATCTTGAAAAGGTGTAGAGTAATAAAAAACTCGGTATCTTTGATTAATAATATTATTACAACAGATATATTCAACAATGAATATATTTGAATTTATTTCAATATTTTTGACAATTAATTCTGGAATTAAAAATAAAATAAACAAAATTAAAATCCGCATTTTTAACCATACAAATATAAAGTTGTTTAAAAACCAACTATCGTTACTGCACTGGAAGCATATTAACTTCAATGATAATGCGGACAAAATTTATAATAACTTTTTTGAAATCTTTTACTCCGTTTATGACGCAAACTTTCCTATTGTTGAAAAGACAATAACTCCAAAAAAGAAAAATAACCCTTGGATAACAAAATTCATCCAAGATTAAGCAGATGCTGTATTTAAAATATCTTAAAACAAAATCATCAGATAATGAGAAAATATATAAAAATTACAAATATCTCTTTGAAAAAGTTCGTAAAAACTTGAAAAAAAATTATTACAGAAGACTCCTAGATAAATTCAAAAATAACACAAAACGCAATTGGCAAATAATGAACGAAATTACTGGCAGACAAAATAAATGCTCAGGTTCTCTTCCCCAGATGGTTATAGTGGATAACAAACGCATATGCGAACCAAAGGCTATAGCTCATGAGTTTAATAAATTCTTCACTGACATCGGTCCTAAACTAGCAAATAAAATTTCTTATACCAAAGCAACATTTAACGATTTTCTAGTATAGATGGATAGTTGCATTAGTTCCAACGAATCATATTCTGAGCTAACTTTTCATGAATTCGAAAAAGCATTCAAATCCCTTAAAAAAAACAAAGCAAGCGGAGCAGATGACATAAACGGTAATATAGTTATAGAATGTTTTGAACAATTAAAAGATATACTTTTTAAGGTTTATGGAGCATCTATCCACCAAGGAGTTTTTCCAGATCAATTAAAAATTGCTAAAATTACCACAATTTTAAAAGAGGGAGATCAAATAAATATCAGTAATTATCGTCCTATCTCCGTCCTCTGCACATTCTCCAAAATACTAGAGAACGTATTATGTATAATAGATTATACAATTATCTCTTTTCTAATAGTTTGTTATACGCCAACCAGTTTGGTTTTAAAAAAAATAATTCGACGGAACATGCAATTATCCAACTTGTACGTGAAATTTCAAATTCTTTTGAAAAATCTAAATTTACATTAGGTGTTTTTATCGACCTATCGAAGGCGTCCGATACTGTAGATCATGAAATTTTGATCAAAAACTGAAATACTATGGAATAAATTACAAAGTTATAAAATGGTTCCGAAGTTATTTATCTAACCGTAAACAATTTGTTTTTAGTAATAGTTGTTATCCAAATGAGTTCCTAAATGTTTCATGTGGCGTTCCCCAAGGTTCCATTTTGGGACCACTGTTGTTCTTGATTTATATAAACGACCTAAATAAAGCCTCAAATTTAATGAGTATTTTTGCTGATGACACCAACTTATTTCTTTCCAATAATGATATTTACAAACTCTTTTCTAGTATGAACGATGAACTTAAAAACATATTAAAATGGTTTAAATGCAATAAGCTAACTCTTAACAGTAACAAAACAAAATGGATTCTCTTCCATCCAATCGCAAAAAAACTTTATTTACCCCAAAATTTACCAGAAATCTTTATTGATAATACTGTGATAAAAAGACACAATGTCATAAAGTTTTTGGGTTTTTTCTTGATGAAAACATCACATGGAAAGCGCATATTGACTATATTAGCACAAAAATTTCTAAAAGCATTGGAATTTTATATAAATCCAGAACATATCTATGTAAAAAAGATTTAACCCAACTATACTACTCATTTGTTCATACCTATTTAAATTATGCAAATATTGGTTGGGGAAGCACAGACAAGTTACAATGTCTTTACCGTCGTCAGAAGCATGGGATCCGTTTAATTAATTTTGCGGATCGATACACAATTTATTACGAGCTTAATGTGTTTAATGTTTTATGCTTTATGTATTTGTGGAAAAATGACTTATCCCTACCTATCTTTAAAGTTCTCTTTTGTGAAAAACCAATAAATAAATATACTCTTAGAAATAATTAATTTTTGCATAAACCTTTTTGTCGAACAAAGTTTAACCAGTATGGTATTGCTTATCGTGCGCCATATCTTTGGAATAAAGTTGTTTTGCCAAATTTTGATATATTTTACACTTTTCCAATTTTCAAACATAAACTCAAAAATTTAATTTTATTTTCCGATGACATAATAAGGTTCTTCTAATTGTAATTATGTACCTTTATTTAGAACTTTTTTAATTGTAAAATAAATTTTATGTTAATTGTAAAATACGTTTATGTAACGACTCTTTTTGTTTTACTTTTCTGTTTATTTTATATATAGATTATATACATTGTAAATAATTATGCTAAATGCTTGTAAAAGGTTCTGATGATAAGATCAGAGCGATCTTCTTTCAGAAACCTTGTTTGTATTTGTTAAAGTATTATATTACGGCAAATGTAAACTTAAATTGTAAAAAAAAAAAAAAAAAGTATTATTTCTCAGCGTTCAAAAATTATGACCATATAAAATTTGCAACCCCTCAAATTGAGGGGGGTTTAAACTTTATAACTTTGTGATAAATAATTGGATGAATAGATAATTTTTATTGGTACCATACGAAATTGAGGAACATTTCCTTTTTTAACATATGTTTTCAACCCCCCCCCAACTTTCGCGACCTTCCTACGCCACTTTGTATATATATATATATATATATATATATATATATATATATATATATATATATATATATATATATATATATATATATATATATATATATATATATATATATATATATATATATATATATATATATATATATATATATATATATATATATATATATATATATATATATATATATATAAAGCTATGATGCAATAAGTTACACTAAGATGAAGTGTTCGCAGATATTAATATACTTGACTAAATATGCGTGACTAAGAGTGTGTCTAAGTGCTAGAAACTCAAAGGGTTTTCAGAGTCTCTCATCTGAAATAATAATCCACAATAGACATAAAAATACTTTTAACGTATAAAAACAATAATTGCTAACTTCAAATAAAAAATAGCAATATAAATTAGTTAAACAGTGTTTAAATATTTAACAACATATCCCTTTATTATTGATTGCCAAAGTATCACGAATAGATTGGTCAGCTACTAAACAACAGTTAAACAAAATTTCTATTAATTGACTATCTGTGTGTATATTAGCTTCATGGGAGTCATATGTATAATTGTCTATTTGAAACACCCTTGCGCAATTCATCCTTTCGAATTCTATTCTTCTCTTCAGTGGAATTTCCGGATCTTTAATGTAGGCTTCCTTGAAGTGCGTGAGAACAATAACTGGTGTAGAAACTGAAAGGATATGTAAAAAATAGTAACGTAAAAAATAAATGCGGTATATAATATATAATAAATCATAAATAGGATATGTAAAAAATAGCACAATGTTGTTTAATAACTAAAATAGATTATTATGTTTAAATAAATATGAATAAAAATAAAATTAATAAAATTAATAAATATACAATTAGGGATCGTCCATATATTGTTACGCAATTTTTGATCATTTTTAACCCCCTACTTCCTCTCGTCACAACATCGTAACACTTAAGTAGCAAGTCCCGTATGAGTCATCAAAAAACCACTAACCCCATTCCCCTCCCTCTATAGCGTGACGTAACTTATGGACGACCTCTTAATAATAACTAAGTAGGAAAACATGTATAACTCACAGCAGGCGTTTCGTAACGTTCGTACCATAGACCTTATCTCAGCTAAATCATATTTTTGAAGCAGACTAAAAAAAAAGTTTTAATTTAGGTTGGGTGGTAGGCTTTCTTGTCAAACTCTTATTTCGAAGTTTGTCGTCCTTTACTCTCGCCAACTAGGATTTATAGAGGATAGGAAAACTGGTATATTTAGACGCAGTTGAGTGTACATACAACACCTGACTTAATAGGGGAATTAAGTTTACATATATTGACTGAGGGTTTGGGTTTGACTAACAAATCAAATGTTAAATTTTTATGTTTGCGGACGTGATGGACACCATCAAAATAAGAAGTTGACAAAAGACCCGCATGGTTGGTCAGAATTGTAATATTTGTCAAATCCTAAATTAACCTATTTAATAAATCACTAACACAAAACTATCCTCATAAATTGTTTTCTTTAGAATTTTGATCGAGGCGACACAGTTCTTAATTAAAAAACCGTTTATATAATTGTGAGTGACTTGTCTAAAATACAATCTATGTTTCTTGATATTACCAAATCAATCAGGTTCATTAAAAAGCGACCCGTTTAATATAAACTCAGCTTAGGTTAAATTAAAATCGTCTGCCTACTTTAAACAGCCAAAAAGTGATAACTTTTTAACAAGTCTAAAATATTTATTTGTATGATCAGCAAATAAAACAACTTTAAGGGCAAGGTTTGTCAAAAAAGTTAAAAATATAGATATATTTAAAAAATTACGGGGCCTCAAATGAAATTTAATAGTGACAAAAAATTAGTATGATGTTGTCATTCAAGCATATCTTTAATGCTGCATTCGAAATAGAAAAACTGCATAGAAAGATTTAATAAAAAAGTATTACTTGCATACGATAATTGAGCAGTTAACACGGTTTCGTAACAGCTGCTTTTTATTTAATCTAGCTAAATAGTCTTTTATAATTTGTTTACATCCGCTGTTCCAATTTTCTGGCACAACTGCACCTATATCACGCAACCCCTCTAAAAGAAAGTAAAGCAGTATATATTTGTGTGTCTGTGTGTGTCTGTGTGTGTGTGAGAATGTGTGTGTACCCGCAATTTAAGCAACTAACCAATAAAATTAGTTTCTACTGCCTTTTTGGTACATGTGCAGTATTTTTCAACATATGTGTGTGTGTGTGTGTGTGTGTGTGTGTGTGTGTGTGTATGTGTTTGAGTGTGTCTGTGTGTCTGTGTGTAAGTGTTTAACAATTTAAGCAACTAACCAATAAAATTAATAAAACTTATCAGGTTCTTATCCGTGTACAAAAAATAAAATTTTACAAAAAAATATAATAAGAAAAAAACTATTTTTTTTATAGAAAACTCTTTCAAAATAGTATAGGGCTCTACTAATTTACTATCTTTCTAAAGTTGCCATTTTAAACAATGTTTTACCATAGGTTTTAACACCCATAAGTTATAAACAAACTTACCACATTGTTTAGAAAGCTCATTTAGAGAAGCAGGCAAAAAATTGTTCCCTCGATTATCTAACACAGTAATAGCTTCCGTTATTTTTAACTCAAGTCTTCTGTCTGTCACGCTATGACTTTTATCCAAAAGTTTAATTTTTCTTTCAGCAGAATATTCAGTATATTTTCCACTCATGACGCAATATATAGAATTAAAAAACGCAGATTTTCCAGCACCTGGTTCGCCAAATATACCAATTGTAATACAATCAATTCCATATTTTCTGAGCTCAATTTGTGTCTTTTTTCTGCTGACTATTGATAAAGTATCACCAATGTGATATCGGTTTATAAACTTATAATACTCTTTGCAAGAGTATCTCCAACTTCTAATATACGGGTTGGCGTACAAACTACTGGAAAAGCTGCTTGTATTATTATTGTGGTCTGAAGAATTACTTTGCTGACTGCATATGGAGTTGTAGGATTGATTGAAAGTAGGAAGTGTAATTGAAGATAATTGTGAGACTGGTTCATCGTTGCCTTCGTTCAAATGCAAAACATCATTTTCATCTGTTTTTGGCGTGGTCATTAAATTTACTTTACTATCATAAGGATCTCCAAACTTTTCTTTGGTGTCTACAAGTAACGAATCTATCTGTGAATCTCCATCATCTTTAAACAATGATGTTTGAAAGCTTTCTACTTTTTCATTTTCCGTATCATTTATCTCCATCAGAAAATTTTTAACTTTTTCATTTTATCTCCAATGAATGTCATTTCAAGAAATCAACAAGTGACTTAGTAAAATCAAGTTATAAAATATAGATAATATTGTCTATAAAAAATTTTAAAACCATGAAAAAATAAAAGCAATCAGTTTAAACAAAACTACATTGAACTTTTTTAGTATGCTAATCAACCTTTAAAATCACACAAAGATTGATTTAACAAATACTTTTTAAATCAATTGCGAAAGAAAATGATTGCTTGAAATAAATAACGCTTAGCATCCATTCATGTGACTAATTTTTATTGTTAAATATGCAGAAAAATGTTATATTAACGGAAACTGCTATTCAAATCAATTGGCTGTTACTGAACTGCTGCGTCTGTTTTTCAGTATGTAATGTATATATATGTTTATATATATATATATATATATATATATATATATATATATATATATATATATATATATATATATATATATATATATATATATATATATATATATATATATATATATATATATATATATATATATATATATATATATATATATATATATATATATATATATATATATATATATATATATATATCCGTACAATTTAAACATTTGATACCAAATTTCATAAACATTAATGTAAATTTAAACTTCAATATAATATAACAAATATACTATTTTTAATTCACTTCTAAAATCCCTCGCTAATAGATAAAGAAATAAAAGAAAAAAAAGAGAAAGAAAATAGCAAACAACAATATAAATTATATACATTTATTAATCACCTCTGTATCTATAATCTCTCTCACCTGCTGCACCTCTATAAATGATAAATTTGCATTTATAATTATTACAAAATATTTATACTTTTTAACGAGGTTTTAAACGAGTTAAATTAATTTTTCTGTAAGAATGAATATAACTTTTTGCATGCATTAAGCAACATTGAAAAGGAAATTTAACACATTTCTATATGCATTACTGTAGAAGAACAAATATTTCTATATAGAATATCTATATAGAAATATTTGATATTAATATCAAATATTTCTATATAGAATATCTAAAAATTGAATATCGATGCACAAATAAGTTACGAATATTAATTTAATTTTTTTTGTTTTTTTCTAAATTTTAAATATTTCGTTATTCTTTATTAAGTTTAAAAAATAAAATTTAAAAATAATATAATAATAAAATTATAAAAATAGATCGTTAAGAAGAAATAAAAGAACGATCCTTAAACATCTTGATTCTGAGCACGAATGCCACTGCGCCGCTGCAAGTTTTTGAAAAGTATAGAAAGTAAATATAAATATAAAGTTACTATATAATAACTTTATAAATAAAAAGTAAAAGTTAATTCTTTAAGCCTTCGTTTATATGAGTTGTAGTTATGTTATTAAAGAAAAATTTTATAAAACAACATTGTTCTATAAAAATGGTCCGCAAAAAGCAATACAAAATTTAATACAATTTGTTTTAAAATATGGCTGTCTAATATAATAATGTCTTATTTTTATCTTTTAACAAATACAAATTAAGAAAAGAAACCGGGAAAAAATTGATTTTAATTGAAACATAAAATAAAGAACATTAAAAATTTTTTCGCAACGAACGCTGAAGTGAACGCACGCTTTTTCGCTGCTTAAAGAAAATAAAATAGAAAATCGTTAGTAGTATTAAAGTTACTTATATTATATTAATTTATACTTATTGAGCATGTCTATCACACTTGAAATTAAAAAGTTGAAGTTAAAAAATTAATAACGGAAATGTTTATGAAGTTTAAGATCGAGACGGAAGAAATGCTTAAGCAACAAGAAAATACTTTCATCAACATAGTTAGTTCTAACACAAAAATATTAAATGATCGGTTAGACAGAGTTGAACTTAACATACTTCAAAACTCAACTAAAATAACATCAATTGCAAAGGAAGTGGAAGAAATCAAAGAAAGTTTAAATTTTCATGAAGATCTCTTTAATAAAAAAATAAAAACCGCCATTGATTGTCTTGCAAAAGAAAATCTGGCAAACTTCAAAATACAAAACAACAACAATGAACTTATAAGAATAAATAACAAACTCAGAGAGATTGAGGATAGGTCAAGGCGTAATAATTTAAGAATCGATGGTGTCCTTGAAAATGACAATGAAAGCTGGGCTGAATGTGAAAAGAAGGTCAAAGAAATATTCAACAACATATTAGGAGTCAAAAATGTAAACATCGAAAGAGCGCATAGAATAGGCAAAGTAGTTCACAACAAACATAGAACAATAATACTAAAATTTCTTGATTTTAAAGATAAAACTGAAATTCTTAACAACTCTTCCAAATTAAAAGGTAAAAACATTTTTATATATGAAGATTACTGCAAGGAAACAAATATTATACGAAAGACACTACATGAAAAAATGAAAATAGAAAGGCAAGCTGGCAAATACGCGTATATTTCATACGACAAACTTATTGTTCGCGATTGGAATTCCAATAAAAAGTAATATATTATCTTTTAAATTTTTATAAAAACTTATATCAAATTAGAATTCTACACGTTAATATTCGAAGTATTAATTTCAATTTTGAAAAACTTCAAAATTTACTTAAAGAAACAAAAAACACTTTTAATATAATTTGTTTAACTGAAACTTGGGCTACTGCAAACGATTTAATTGATGACTCTAATTTTCATCTTCCTCATTTTGAAATAATCTCACTTGAAAGGCAAACTAATAAGCGCGGTGGCGGAGTTCTAATTTACGTTCATGAAAATATTAGGCATTGTCTAAGAAACGATCTTAGTATTTCTAACGGTGATGGTGAACTTTTAACCATTGAAATAATAATTGAACAAACAAAAAACATACTTCTAAGCTGCTGTTATCGACCACCTGATGGTGTGGCCGAAAACTTGAGCATGTTTTTACTACAAAACGTTTTTAAAGAAGGAAATAATAAAAATAAAAAAATTTTTCTCATTGGAGACTTTAATATGAATTGTTTTATATATAATGATAACAACAAAGTTAGAAACTTTTATGATTCAATTTTTGAGGCTGGAGCTTTTCTATTTATAAATCGCCCGACGAGAGTGACAAAATACTCAGCAACTTTACTAGACAATATCATTACAACAGACATCTTTAATAATGATATAAAAAAAGGAATCTTAAAAACAGATATCTCGGATCACTTTCCTATTTTTCTGACTATACCCACTAACCAAGCAAATGTAAAAAAACCTAACAAAATCTTAACTAAACGTATTTTTAATCAATCAAAAATTGAATTGTTTAAAAACCAACTATCGCTACTGCATTGGAAACATTTAAACTTTAATGATAACGCTAATAATTTTTTTGAAAATTTCTTTAAAACATTTTTTTCGGTTTACGATGCTAACTTTCCTAATGTTACTCATACATCAAAAACTAAAAATATAAATAATCCTTGGGTTACCAAAGGTTTCAAAAAATCATCAAAAACTAAGCAAAAGTTATATATAAAATATCTAAAAACAAAAACTCCTACAAGCGAAAAAAAATACAAAGAATATAAAAATTTATTTGAAAAAATCCGGAAAAGCTTAAAAAAAACTACTATTCAAATTTGATTAATGAAACAAAAAATAACCTAAAACGCACTTGGCAAATACTAAAAGAAATAATTGGGAAACAAAAAACATGCTCAAGTTTTTTACCACACATGCTTAAAATCGATAACAAAATTTTATACAATCCACAAATTATAGCTAATGAGTTTAATAAATATTTTGTTGAAATTGGTCCAACCCTATCAGATAAAATTCCAATTACCAAAACTTCTTTTCATGATTTTTTAGCACCTCTTGATAAAGGCATTTGCTCAGATGAACTATCGTCCGAATTATCCTTTTAAGAGTTTGAAAAAGCTTTTAAAACCTTAAAAAAAAAATAAAGCAACTGGGCCTGATGAAATAAACGGAAATATAGTTATAGATTGCTATGAACAAATTAAAAATATTCTTTTTAAAATCTACAAAGCATCCATCCAACAAGGAATTTTCCCTGAGCGCTTAAAAATTGCTAAAATTATTCCAATTCACAAAGAAGGCGACAGATCCAATATCAATAATTACCGCCCCATCTCTATCCTATCTGTATTCTCCAAAATCCTAGAAAGAATTATGTTTAACAGAGTTAATAATTATCTTAATTACAATAACCTACTATACAATAATCAATTCGGCTTCAAAAAAAATAGTTCAACTGAGCATGCCATTATTCAATTTGTACGCAACATCTCCAAATCCTTTGAAAAAGCTCAACATACATTAGGTATTTTTATAGATCTATCAAAAGCATTTGATACGGTTGACCATAATATTTTAATACAAAAAATGAAATATTACGGTTTAAACAATAATACTTTAGCGTGGTTTAAAAGCTATTTAACAAATCGTAAGCAAGTAGTCTATAATAATAATGACGTTCAAAGTGGATCCTTAAATATAACCTGTGGTGTTCCACAAGGTTCTATTCTTGGACCACTGCTATTTCTTATATATGTCAATGATCTAAACAAAGCCTCTAACCTGATGAGTATTATTTATGCCGATGACAATAACTTATTTCAATCCCACACTGATGTTTACAAACTTTTCTTAAAAACTAATAATGAACTTATAAACATTTCTAAATGGTTTAAATGTAATAAATTAACGTTAAATACTAACAAGACTAAATGGATTCTTTTTCATTCCTTCTCAAAAAAACGTTCTTTACCAGATATTATGCCTCAAATTTATATTGATGAAACTCTAATAAAAAGAGATTCTGTTATAAGATTCCTAGGTGTTTATCTTGATGAGAATATTACTTGGAAAAACCATATTAATCATGTAACCACCAAGGTATCTAAAAATATTGGCATTTTGTATAAAGCCCGACCTTACTTAAGCAAAAAAAGCCTTACGCAGCTCTATTACTCATTCATACACAGCTATATAAACTACGCAAATATTGCATGGGGTAGTACCGAAAAAAGTAAACTACAACGTCTATATCGCCAACAGAAACATGCGATTCGCGTGATTAATTATGTGGATCGCTCTACACATTCAAAGCCTTTCTTTGATGAAATAAAAATACTTAATGTCTACAAACTTAATGTTTTCAATGTTTTATGTTTTACTTATATGTGGAAAAACAATTTATCCCTACCTGTTTTTAACGACCTTTTTACGTTAAAACTTACTAATAAGTACTCACTAAGAAATAAAGATTTGCTAAATGAACCATTTTGTAGAACAAATTTTAATAAATTTTGTATTAATTATAGAGCACCTTACCTTTAGAATAATATAGTTCTGCCTAATTTTGATCCTTTTATCCGTTTTTCTGTTTTTAAAAATGAATTAAAAAAATTCGTTCTTGCTATGGATGACATTTTAAGTTACTATTAGCTTGAAGTATAAACTTGATTTATGAGATTTATAATAATATTTATATTAATAAATTTATTTTCTTTAATTTATATCAGATCTATAAAATTTATTATTATGGATTATTATAACAAATTTGTGAGAATTATTATTACAGATACGTGATTAATATTATGAATTTATTATTATATATTTATTATTGCGGCCGTTTTTGGATTTATATTTTCAGTTTTATGGTATGATAAAATTGTAAAGGTTCTGATGATAAGATCAGTAGATCTTCTTTCAGAAGCCTTGTTTTCTTTGTTCTTGTAAAATATAGTATTTATTTTACGGCAAATGTAAACAGAAAAAAAAATAAAAAAATAAAAAAATAAAGAACATTATAAAATGTTTGAAGAACAAAGAACATTAAGATGACATCTATTTTTCCTAATAGAGGCTTTGCATGGGTAAAACCAAGGAGGTTTGTTAAACCTCCTTGGGTAAAACATTCACTAAAATTTATGAAACGCGCTACATCTTACTGATGACGATGAAGAGGTTTAAGTTTATTTTTGTAAAGAAATATTTTTCATTAGCAAGAAATTTATTTCTTATTATAAAAAATAAATTTCCCGCAAAGTTTTCTTTTTTCTTTCTTTTTGCAAAGTTTCAAAAAACAAATTTTAGAAACAAATTTTATACCCTGCAATTTATTTCTAAAAACAAGAAATACATTTGTTGTTTTGAGAAAAAAACTTTAAACTATAGACAATAGCCCAATGGGCACGAGTCGTCTCTTAAAAGTTTAAAACGTTCATAAGACGTTCACAAGACATTCAAAACGATAAAAAGTCGTTTAAAAAACGTCTATTTAATGTTCTATGTCCACTGGAAGATAAACAATTTTGCTTTGTACTGATAGTCAAACAACAAATTATAAATTGCTGATTATGAGGGTAAATTATGTTATATATAATTTTTTTCTATAATTTTTTAAAAAACTGGAGGAAAAGAGATAGGGTGATAGTTATTAACATTTGTTAGATTTCCTTTTTTAAATATCGGTGTAACTTTTGATATTTTAAATTGATCAGAAAAAACTCTTTGTCTTATTAAAGATTAAATTTTATTTTAAAAAAAAGAACGTCTTTTACAACTCTCTATGAATTTTTAAATATATTGCCATTAAATCATCAAAACCACTCGCTTTGTTGGATAGCATACTTAAACTCGCTTTGTTGGATAGCATACTTAAACTCGCTTTGTTGGATAGCATACTTAAACTCGCTTTGTTGGATAGCATACTTAAACTCGCTTTGTTGGATAGCATACTTAAACTCGCTTTGTTGGATAACATACTTAAACTCGCTTTGTTGGATAACATACTTAAACTCGCTTTGTTGGATAACATACTTAAACTCGCTTTGTTGGATAGCATACTTAAACTCGCTTTGTTGGATAGCATACTTAAATTCGCTTTGTTGGATAGCATACTTAAACTCGCTTTGTTGGATAGCATACTTAAACTCGCTTTGTTGGATAGCATACTTAAACTCGCTTTGTTGGATAGCATACTTAAACTCGCTTTGTTGGATAACATACTTAAACTAAGTTCATCAAATGATATATCAAAAGATTAGTCGAAATAGACGAGATAGCAATCGTTTTTTTATATATATATTTAAAACATTTTTTGCTTAACAAAGTCCGACTGACTGAGACAAAAAACTTGTTAAGTTCGATTCCTGTTTCACGAGAATCATATATGAGAACCAATAATTTTAATGCCGTTTTTTTTTAGCGCATGATTTGGTTTTAATGATTTGCATCAAGAATAAATAAGAAAAGCTTACTTGAAAAAGTAGTGAAGGTATCAATGCTTTGAAAGTTTTGTGTTTTGCAATAACAATACTCGCTTACTGAAAGAATTAATGTCTCCAATTTTATAAGATTTTTCAATCTAAATCCCTTCTACACAATTGGCAATTTATACAATGCAGTCCTTATTACACGTTCGGTCATTCTTCATGAGTAACATAGAGCAAATGTAAAAATGGTTGAAAGGCCTAAGTCATGTGTCAAGTTGCATTCTGATTAAGTCCCCTATCAACTGAATGGTCAAGAATTTTAAAGTTTGCATAATTCCTGTCTTTTCAACTATAAGAAGTAGTTGTTCAAAAACTGGCACTCGAATTTCAGTTGAATAAAGCTTTGGTCTAATAGTTAAAGATAAGAAGAATATTCGTAGAAACATTAGGATAAAATCCTAATATTTCCACGAAGTAAATGTAAAAGTATGTGCAGTTTTTTTTAGCTTTGCAAAACCATGGAGATACCAACATTTTACGTTTTTTTGTCTTGTGAGTAGCCCATGGGTTGTCTCGATGACCAGGTTTTAAGATGGTTGTCTTGATGACCAGGTTTTAAGATATCGCGTGATTAGAATTACGTTGTTTTATCTCCACTCTTAAAAAAATTTAAGTTATTGATTGCGTAATGTACCCCAACATAATGTTCTTCTACTGTATCGAAACCTAAGTTATAATCAAAATCAAAAAAAAAAAAAAAAAAAAGTAGTTGAAATCTTTTTATATGCCGTCTCCTAAGGTTCTTAATTTTTAAATCGCTTTATCTCAAAACTCAAAAATGTGAAGATGGAACATGATAATTTTAATCTAACTATATGCAAAACATTCTTTTTTAACCAATTTACTGACGTTTTGCCTCAGAAGGACTCAGGGTTGTTTAGAATAATGCGACATAAAGAAGTAGGAGCCGACATGAGCTAAAACGGCCTTAAAGTGACAAAATCACTGAAAACCATTTACACCTCAGCATAATAAGAGTTAAGACTCGCTCAGATACTTCTCAACCGTAAAAATGGCGTAACATCTACAAATAGTAAAAGGCTTTTACAAAATAATAATAACAATACTAAAACAATATTTAAGACTTTCAACTTTGTATTATACCATTATATAATTGTTTATGGCTTTTTAATGTCGTCTTTGGCATTTAATTTAAAATTTTAAATAAATAAAACAAACAAAACAAAACAGACAACGCTATACAACTTTGATATATTATATATTACATAAATTACAAATGAGGAAAAATGCTCCAAAAAAAATTAATGAAAATGTTTTTTTGTTTTGTGTAAAATGAAGTGTTTAAAAGAAATTAAAACTGATTTGTGTTGTTAAAATATCGAATGCCAAATAATGCTTTTATAAAATTGCAAAAAATACATCTGATAAAAACATTGTTTTTTTTTTAATTATAAAAAATGATGTAAATAATTTTTTCCAATCTTCGCGCTTCTTGCACTTTATCATACATTTCTCATTATTCTTTTACAAATGTTGTTTTTTTGGTGTGTGGTAAGAAATGTTTTTTTGCCACGGTAACTAGTGGCTTATATTTAAAAATGTGACCAAATTTTGTACCGGAAAAAAAGGTAAAATATCCAAATAACGTTTAATATACATAACCGGGCTTTTGCTTTCATTATTTTTACAAGGAACTTAGATCATAAATTTACAAGGATCATAAACTTGTGCCTATTTTAACTTTACTTGATGAGGTTTTTGAACAAACAAGACTAATTGACAGAGTAAGTCAAAGTAATCACATTTATTTTAATTTACCCTCGTAATCAGCTTTTATTTCTAATAATTTATGCAAGCATCTATAACTATGGAAGCAAAATAATTCGTTTCAGGACTCAGATTTGATTGAAGCAATCTGTTAACATACTCGAGCCCATTCTCTTCAATAATCATTCTACAATATTTTGTGGCTAAAAGAAAAAATGATTTTTATAATAGTACACTAAATAAATGTTTACAACAAACTTAAAGTACTTACAATACATTGAAGCCATACTAGCAATCGCCCATATTGCCCAATGTTGTGCAGCAGGCGTTTCGTAATGATCAAGCAAACTCAATAATGGCTTAAAAGATCTAGAGGTAAAACATTTAATAATATAAAACATAAATATCTTAAAAAATAACACTCTAAAAACTATTTAGTTGTATTTACGTAGGATATATTTTAGAATTACATAGGATAATTCTAAATTCAAGTGACTTTCTCAGACTCAGGAAAATGTATATATATATATATATATATATATATATATATATATATATATATATATATATATATATATATATATATATATATATATATAAATATATATATATATATATAAATATATATATATATATATATATATATATATATATATATATATATATATATATATATATATATATATATATACATTTTCCTGAGTCTAAGAAAGTCACTAGAATTAGAATTATCCTATGTAATTCTAAAATCTTACGTAAATAATACAACTAAATAGTTTTTAGAGTGTTAATTTTTATTTTTCCGCCCATATATATATATATATATATATATATATATATATATATATATATATATATATATATATATATATATATATATATATATATATATATATATATATATATATATATATATATTAATATATACATATATATATATACATATAAATATATATATATACATATATATATATATATATACATATATATATATATATATATATATATATATATATATATATATATATATATATATATATATATATATATATATATATATATATATACATATAAATATATATATATACAATTAACGACCGGTTTTTTTTTTTTAAAAAAAAACAACCGCTTTTCGGTTTCGAGAAAACTGGACAAAAAACCGGTTAACCGGTTGCGGTTTCCACCGGTTACCAAGCCCTAATATATATATATATATATATATATATATATATATATATATATATATATATATATATATATATATATATATATATATATATATATATATATATATATATATATACATATATACATATATAAATATATATACTATATATATATATATAACGTGAATAATTTAATACATATATATATATATATATATATATATATATAAGGTAAAAAAATGATTCTTTTGACAACAAATTACGTCACTTTTAATTACTTTTGACATTCATCCAACATTTCCGTGTTGTCATAAAGTTAAAACCATTAATCTAATTACTTTTTTAAAAAACCGCAAAAACAGAAATTTAATTGACCAGAATATTTTTAAAAACATTCAGAATGTTTTTAAAAATATAAACAATGTTTTTATTTTTATTTTTTTTTTACTGTAAATCATGCGCGAGTGTTGCTACATCGACTATCTTATAGCCTGACTCGCAACAGAGTGCTGCTACATCGATTGACAAATAGCCTGACTCGCAACGGAGTGCTGCTACATCGACTGACAAAAATAGCCTGACTTGCAACGGAGCGCTGCTACATTGACTGACAAATAGCCTGACCCGCAAAGGAGTGCTGCTACATCGACTGAGGGTTTGGTTTGGGCAGGCAGTCTATCAAATAATAAAAAATAAAAAAAATTCCGGTTTTGCATTAAAAAATTTTGACAAATTAAAAAATGTCAACAAAATATCGGAAAACTTTCTGACAACGACGTTGCAAGAGTCTATATATATATACATATATATATATACACACACACACATATATATATATATATATATATATATATATATATATATATATATATATATATATATATATATATATATATATATATATATATATATATATATATATATATATATATATATATATATATACATATATACACATATATATATATATACATATATATATATACATTAGGGTGGTGCTTAAAACAACTTTTTTGAGAAAAACCTGCTGGTACCCCCTAAATGTGTTTTATCTAATACAAAAACACTAGGTTTAAAATTTTTTTGAACAAAAATTATTTTTAGGGGTAGCTCAAGGCCCTCAAAAATTTGACGGGTCCCTAATATTTTGAAAAAAAAACTTTTTCTAAAGTATGTCAACCTGGTACTCAAAAGAAGCGATGTTATATAAAAACTTCAAAAATAATAATCATTTTACATAAAAAACATGCCTAAAAAAAATTATTCTCAAAAAACCTGAAAATATTGACTTTTTTTATTTTCAGCTTAAAAACAATAGTTTTTATGCATTTATACCTGAAAAAATTATTTTTATAAAAAATTATTTTCATTTTTAAATTTTTTATATAATTTTGCTTATTTTGAGTACCAGGTTGACATACTTTAGAAAAAGTTTTTTTTTCAAAATATTAGGGACCCGTCAAATTTTTGAGGGCCTTGAGCTACCCCTAAAAATATTTTTTGTTCAAAAAAATTTTAAACCTAGTGTTTTTGTATTAGATAAAACACATTAAGGGGGTACCAGCAGGTTTTTCTCAAAAAAGTTGTTTTAAGCACCACCCTAATATACATATATATATATATATATATATATATATATATATATATATATATATATATATATATATATATATATATATATATATATATATATATATATATATATATATATATATATATATATGTATATATATATATATATATATATATATATATATATATATATATATATATATATATATATGTATATATATGTATATATATATATATATATTAAACAGTAAGACATAAACATATATAAACATGCTTGCCTGTAATTTATATTTCTTCTTGATCGTAAATCCCATGAATTAACAGATTCAATCTAATAATAAAAATAATTGTAATTTATTTACTCCAGTTAAAAAACTAATGTTATTAAAATATATTTCAAAATGAATATTATAATTAGGGCTGTGGAGTCGGAGTCGGAATTGTGACATTTTTATCGGAGTCGGGGTTGCTAACAAAATCGTGACTCTGACTCCAATAGTAAAACTTCTCGGTATTGCACGTGCATGTATAAAACATTCAATTAACCTTATTTTCATACTTATCCCGCAATATTTTTTAAAGAATTCAAAGAATTTTTCAAAAATTTTGCTTTGAAGTAGTACTCAAAAAATTTAAACAACTGGAGTCGGAGTCCTTACCTTTTTTTTTACGACTCCAGACCCCTGATTATAATTAAATTTAATTTAGGAAATATTGTATAAAATATAAAAATCTCCCCAACTTAACTTTATGTTGTTTAAAAATAACAAAACCTATAGTTTTATGTTTATAGGTAATACTTGGGTGATTAAAAAAGTAACATTTCAGAAAAATGTTTGAGACACTATTCAGTTATATACAAAACTATCTCATCGTATTTAAACATAAAATAAAAAAGTTAATTTTTTTCAAGGTTTAATTTATATATAGTATATATTATATATACAATAATACAATTTACTATATTATACTAAACAATAATATACTATATATATATATATATATATATATATATATATATATATGTATATATATATATATATATATATATATATATATATATATATATATATATATATATATATATATATATATATATATATATATATATATATATATTTATATATATATACATATATATACATATATATGTATATATATATGCATTTTTATATATGTGTGTATATATATATATAATATTATAATATAATTGTATAATATATATGTAATTGAATATACAAGCATTAATGTTGGAAACAATTATTATGATCATAATTGCCTCTTAAAAAATAATGATCATAGTGATCATACTGCCTACTTTACCTACATCCTTGTAGACTATTACATGTGTAGACTTGTACATGTACCTTGTTTATCAACCTTTCTACATCCTTGTACACTATTATCTTGTACAGCTACCTTGTTTATCTACACTTATACATCCTTGTACATTTACCTTTACATCTACATAAACTTTTAAACTCTTTAATCATCAACTACCCCTCTTTATTTCTAAAATGATGAACTCTTACTATTTTTATCATGCAACAGCATCTTGAAATATAACTGTGATTCCATGCACTTTCACCTTCAACAAGCAAATTTGATAAAATGCCAGCAGAATTGTATCTAACTTCCAAATCAAACTCAGGTTGTAATCGAGAGCTAAAACAATGAAAAACGTCATATAACAAAAAAATAAACATGTGCAATATTTTTGTTGGTTCAATTTGACTTTTTGTTGTGTTTTTTAAAAATTCAAAACATATATGACTCCAAAATAATAAATAGATTTAAAAAAAAAATTCTTTTATTTAAAATAAAGATACTTTCAAAAACAACCTATATTTAAAAAAAAAAAAAAAAAAAAAAAAAAAATTTTTCTTTGTTAATTGAGCATATACCAAATTTTGTATATGCAAATTAAATATTACAATTGATTGTCACCATCTATTTTTTTTTGACTTTTTCTTTTTCATTACATTTCTTTGTCACTTTCAATATATTTTTATAATCATTGATACTCAACTTTTAACTTAACCATGAAATAGATCGATATAATTGAGCTAATTATCTCATTTGGTTATTTCCCATAACAATTCTGGTATATATAGTGCCAATTAATAATTTCAAATTTCTTAATGACATTTTATATTCGAACAAGATTGGCTCTTTTCCTCCTACCCAAAAGGAAAATTCATAATTTTTAATCTATACTCATAGCTGATTCCGCCATTTTAGAAAACTAATTTTTATAGAGCTATTTTTATTTATGTCTTGAACAACATATGGGAATATGAAAAGCAAGTGCATTCAAACGAATAATGTATAAAAAACTTGATCTCAAGATGCATTTTGTAACCGATTTTTGTTTTTTACCCGACTTTTGTTTTGTACTCGATTCATTATCATTCATTTTTATTTTTTTATTTGTCATTGTTTCAATAAAATTCAATTTAAATCATTAAAAAAAAAATTAAAAAAAAAACACATTTTAAATCATTTAAAAGACAAATACTTAGATTTTTTTCAAATTTTATTTTTGTGTATAAATATAAAACAAAAGTAAAAAAAAAAAATTAAAAAAGTCAATTATAAGTTAATCAAAATAAAAACAAAAACAGTTGAAATAAATAAATACTTAACAGAACAAATAGATCCAGGAAAAGGAAAAATACAGTATACAGGCTATTTAGTGTAACAGGTTCAAATAACATTTTTAAATACTGTAAAAAATGTAAACATGAATTTAAAGGGAAAAAAAAACATACACAAAACAAACAAATAGATTTAAATTTAAAGTAAAAAAAAAAAAAAAAAAAGAAAAGAAAAAAAAGTTAAAAAATTAAAAACTCATAAACTATATGATAAAAAATACAAAAAATACAAATTATTTTTTTATCACCCATTGTTTGCATTTTTATGTTGCTATTATTTTTTCATTTTGTAATTTTAGTGCCTTCAATTCATTGTCATTTTTTATTTTTCATTTTATATTGTTTTTATCCTTCTTTTTTGTTGATTCATCATAAACACTTTCTACTTTTGTAATTTTAATGTTACTTTTATTTTTGTTAACTAGGCCTTCTGCCTTTTCGTGTAGCTTTTTTCACTTTTTTTATTAACTTATACACTTTTTTGTTATATTTTTAGTTGTTTTAATCTGGTATAAATATTCTCAAATATTAAAGTTTTTCTATTTATTTTTCATTTTTTTTGTTTCTTTTATACAATATACTTATAGAAATTATTTATAAAGTTTCAATGATAAGTAGTTCGACGTAATATTGAAATAGAGGAAATATTAATTCTTCATATGTCAAGACTATGGATAGCAAACCATTGGATTATATAATTAAGATGGCCTTTACTATTTTTATTGAATTAATGGACCACAATCCGAGAGAATTAAGAAAAACATTGTTCATCTTTTTAAGGAGAAGTTTCATCTAAAACTTACAATAAGAACCTACTTGAAAATTGTAAACTTTCTCGATGTTACCATCGACCTGTCAGAAAATACTTTTCAGCCATACAGAAAACCAGATGAGCACCCATTAAACATCAATGTAATTTCCAACCACCCTCTTAGTATTATTAAATCCATACCAACTATGATATCTAACCATATTAGCAATACTTCATCTAGCAAAGAAGTTTTCAATAGAGCAACACCATTTTATAACAATGCATTAGCAGCTATTGGATATAATGAAAAGATTACTTTCTGAAAAAGCCTTGCCTCAACAAAACCAAAATTAAGATTACCAAACATTATTTGGTTTCATCCTCTGTTTTCAAAAAAATGTAAAAACCAACATTACAAAAAAATATTTTCTAAATCTAATTGAAAAGCATTTTCCAAAAACACATAAGTTTCACAAAATTTTTAATAGGAATAAGTTAAAAGTCAGTTATAATTGTCTTCCTAAACGCCACCAATATTATTAATTCATAGAATAGAAAAATATTATCTAATATTTCCAACATAGCTGTTCCAATGTGTAACTGCCGTCAATCTTTAAATGTCTTTTGCAAGGTATGTCTTAGTAAAAAAATAAATTATGCCTGGAATGTAAAAACATCACCACAAGATATTAGTTTCAATTATATTGGTTTAACAAAGCATTAGTCAAACACACCATTTAAAGATTGCTAGTACAAACATTAAAACTCCTTTTAATATGAAAGTAACTATATATCTGGGAAATAAAAAAAAAAGAGATTTTCAAATCCTATTCTTACGTAGTAGATTATTGATAGGGAGTAGCCATTTAAACCTGGAGGAAAGTTGTGTAACCTTTTTTTATCTAAAAAATACCGTATCATTACATCAACTTTGAAACTATTGAAAAAAAAACAAAACAAACTAATATCAAAATGCCACCACAAAAACAAATTTATTATCTGCAACTTTAATGTTATCTAAGCTAATACTGTATTATATTTTTTTACATAATTTTTTTGGTCGTTATGATTGTTTGTAACATTTGTTGATTGCATTTATGTTTCAAATTTAGTTGTAACTATTTTACTATTTAATATATATATATATATATATATATATATATATATATATATATATATATATATATATATATATATTATATATATATATATATATATATATACATTAATTAATACAAGATTAGTGATAAGATACAGATAGTCAAACAGCAGTTGTTGACTTTCATGGCTCAAAAAGTTTTGTTGTTTGATTTTGAACAGCTTCAAGATTTTGAACAGCTTCAAGATATTTAAGTTTTTTTCCCCAAATTATCAGATGAAAATGGAAATGTACTACTAAGCTATACTCCAAACTCTCACAAAAGTCTTTATTTGAAGTTTAAAAAAAATACTAATTAGCAATGGGAGACTGAGACTAATTAGATATAATTTTAACAATTATAATTTCAAATTGCAACTCTATCTGTTGCAACTCTTTAACTATGCACTTTAAAACTGCTACCCTGTAAGTAAATGTTTAACTATGCACTTTAAAACTGTTACCCTCTAAGTAAATGTTTAACTATGAATCACTTTAAAACTGCTACCCTCTAAGTAAATGATTAACTATCACTATAAAATGATTAATTAATCACTTTAAAACTGCTACCTTCTAAGTAAATGTTTAGTTAAAACTGCTACTCTTTAAGTAAATGTTTAGTTAAAACTGCTACCCTCTAAGTATACGTTTAGTGCACAACTACTAAATTTCTTGATTTATAAATTTTGTTTTTTTGTGTAACAGTCACAGCTTTATTTGTAGCAATCTAAAAAGTTAGTTGACTAACTTTAGTGAAATAAAAAGTTAGTTGACTAATTTTGGTGAACTAAAAAGGAAGTAAACTAAATTTAGCAAATTAAAAAGTCAACTATTTTTCATGGACTAAAAAGTTAGTAAACTAATTTTAACCAAGTAAAAAATTAGAATAAAATTTAGATTAATAATATATTTTAGTTAAAAGTTAACTTACATAAACAAGTCAATAATGGGTTCTTCCATTAAAAGTGGTCTTAATAGCTTAACCTCTGCAATATTTCCCTAAAAAATGTAATTCAACATAAGTTGAAAATCATTGAAATTTAATTATTCTTTTATGTAAATAAAACTATGAGTTTAAGCCACAACAAAGAAACAAAAGTTATATATGATAATATTAGTTATTAATAATATATAATTGTATATAAAATAATAGTATGTACTAATTAAATATCAATATCAAATATTATAATGAACAAATAAAAAAATATTACTAGCATATAGTTTAATGTAGAATAAATTAATATAAAATATACAAATTTATACAACTTTTCAATTATTAAAAATAACTGTTAATCTTTTCTAGTGTCATAATTGGCATGAAATCTGGTCTTTGTTTTATTACAAACTTAATAATTTTATTTAATTTGAATATTTATTTTTCCATTTTGTCTATTAAAAAATGCAAATTTTAAAAACCATGTTTCAAGATAAAAGTTTTATACTTTTTTTTACCGTTTTTCAAAGATACACATGTATCTTTGAAAAACGGAGTTTTATGAAACAAAATGTCAATCATGTTTCGTGAAAGAGTACATACCATAACACCCATCATTGTTTTGTGAAGTTCTACAGAATTAGGAAATCTCTGTAAATAAAAAAAAAATTGTAATAATAATAAGTTTCTTTTCTCTTATATCTTTATCTTTTTTTTATTAAACTACAGCAAAACTAAAAATAAACAAAAATAACATAACAATCGGTGAAATGGTTAAAAATGATACACTAATAAGTTATATTAAATTCAGATATAATCTACTTTGTTGCAAATATAATACTTTTTTTTGTGTGTGTATATATATATATATATATATATATATATATATATATATATATATATATATATACATATATATATATATATATATCAGCCCTCAGAATTAGAAAAAATTAGGTCGACAATAAACTGCCGATTTTTAACTAATAGAGGTCGGCATCAGGTTGGAAAAAAAAAATTTGACTAATAGTTCATAAATGACTTAAAACGAGGTCAGCTTTTTATTGCTGACCTCAAACACTTTTAGCTCTGCATTTAAGTCGGCATGGCCAAATGCTAACCCTAATTTCAAAGGCTGATATATATATATATATATATATATATATATATATTGATTTTTGTACAAAGCAAAAAGATAAAAAAAAAATAGAATTTTTGAATTTTATTTTGTGCATTAATTTTATGGAGAAATTTTTTTTGCCCTGGACCACTATAAAGTAGAAAATATACCTAGGTAAACCATCTTTATCTGAAAGAATCTTTTTTATTTAAAAAAATTATGACAAACCATTTTCATTTGAAAATGGCTCTGATAATAAAAGAGTTAAAGGATGTGGGTGTGTTACCAGGAAAATAAACAACATTACATCATTTGCAATCAAAAAAATATTAAATCTTTGGATAGAGCATTGCTCTATGCAAAGATTTAATGTTTTATCACCATAACAACTCCCAAAGGCTCCCTGAATGTAGCCCTAATTAATTATTTGTTAAAAAATAGACAATCATCAGTTGCCATAAATTAAAAAAATACCAATCCAAAGATTTAATATTTTTTTGATTGCAAATGATGTAATGTTGTTTATTTTCCTGGTAACACACCTAGAGCATTGCTCTATGCAAAGATTTAATGTTTTATCACCATAACAACTCCCAAAGGCTCCCTGAATGTAGCCCTAATTAATTATTTGTTAAAAAATAGACAATCATCAGTTGCCATAAATTAAAAAAATACCAATCCAAAATAATGACAAGCAAAATAGAATATGCAAAATTTGGGATAGCCTGTCTTGGAATCAGCATCGGTTATAGTCATTGCTCTATGCAAAGATTTAATGTTTTATCACCATAACAACTCCCAAAGGCTCCCTGAATGTAGCTCTAATTAATTATTTGTTAAAAAATAGACAATCATCAGTTGCCATAAATTAAAAAAATACCAATCCAAAATAATGACAAGCAAAATAGAATATGCAAAATATGGGATAGCCTGTCTTGGAATCAGCATCGGTTATAGTTGATGATGAGTCTAATTTCACTTTAGCTCACAACACAACTAATGACAATGATATTTTGCACTCAAACAATGTTGAACAAACTCCTGCCTGAATGAAATAACCATTTATTAAAAAATTTCAATGATGATGACCATTAATTATCTTAGCCTGACCTGGCCTCACCTTATTATATTACATTAAGTACTTATTTAAGCTTAATCTGGCTTTATCACATTATGTCATACAGTGATGCAATTATGTGACCAAACTGGCAAGCAAAAAATTTATAACAATTTATTAAGACAAATAACTGTCTCAAGAAAATTGATAAGAACCTCACAAATGACCTTGCCTCAATTTGTCAACTTAGGTCAACTTGTCCTAGAATTTGGAAAACCAGAAAAAATAGAGTGATAGAAAAATATAATAATGAAACTAATAACATATACACCATTATCCTGTATTTCATTTTAAACATATCAACATTATCTTATATTATAACACATTCTACCACTCCGGTTGAACAGGTTAACATGTTAGACATTCAAATCACTCAAGCTTCGATTGCTAAAGTCATGTCAAATAAACACTTCAATGGCTTGTGGTCCAGACAACATTCCTGTTATAGTCTTACAAAAGTGTTTTCCAGAATTCTTTTCAATTCTCTCTAAAATATTTAATAAATACTTGACTGTACCATGTTTTCCTGCCTACTAAAAAAATTAAATCTTTAGTTTCAATTTTTAAAATATCTGGTAAACACTCTAACCCCTCCAACTATCGACGATCAGTCTTCTCTCTATGATTAGCAAGGCCTTTGAGTCTTTGATAAACAAATTTATAACATCCCATCATGCATCATGTTTTACAGCTGTCTTGCTAATTATTCTATAATTAAAAAATTCTATTGCGCAAACAAAAGAAAGAGCAAAGCAAGGGCTAGGGGGGTTTTGCTCTTGACATATCTAAAGCTTTCAATAAAATTTGGCATGCTTGAATGCATTTGCGATGATTGTCTTCTCCAAGCTTTAAAGTTCTATCCTTGGTCTTATTTAGGTTAATGATCTTTCTGATAGTTTTACATTAACTGATGTTACAAAAAGTGACTCTGTTTGTTACCAAATCAACTTTATACTCCTAAAAAAAAAGTATTTTTGATTGCTTAGAACAGACAGCCAATTTCAAATCTGATATCTCTTCTGTAACAGTTTGGGGCTTGCAGTTGCTTGTGAATTTTAATTTCAACAAAACAGTTATTTACTGCAAACATCGTAATTTTTTTGACATTCCTATATTAATAAACAGTAACTCTTTCACAGAATTATCTTCTTTACTTGTCTTTGGATTATCATTTACTACTGACCTCTCATGGACACTAAATATACAATTGATTGCAAAGTTAGCATAAGCTAATGTTACTTCTCCTTATCATACTTGCCACTTTTATTACTCCTGATATTCTCTACCTCTACATATCTCTAATTCATCTTTGTGTGGAATAATATTGTCATATTTAGGTTGATTCTTCTAATGATGCTCTTTCACTTCTAGACAAGGACTAAAAATGCATTGTAAACATAATTGGACCTGTTTTATCTGCAAAGCTTGAGTCTCTCTCCCATCAACATAAAGTTGTATCTCTTTTTTTAACAAATACTATCATGGTCGCTGTTTAAGGGAGCTATCATACCTAGTTTTATTAGTTCAAACTTGTTCTCGCTTGACTCGTCATTTAGCAAAGTTTCATTCTTTTACTGTATTTGTCACTGCATTCTCTAAAAACTTTTATTTATCTAGTTTTATTTTACCACACTTCAATCCTTTGGAGATCTCTCCCATCTTCATGTTTTCCTGACTCATACAAAGTACAACTTTTCAAGTCTTTCATCAACTATTTCCTACTTTCAAAAAACAAAAACGCTTACTGAATAGCTGATTTCACTACAGGTTACCAGTTTTGCTGGTCAGCTAATTATAACTTCACTACAGGTTACTAGTTTTGCTGGTCAGTTAATTATAATTTCACTACAAGTTACCAGTTTTGCTGGTCAGCTAATTATAATTACTTACTAAGATTAACCTTCTAATTAAATTCTTCATTTTGCAATTTTTTAAAGGAAATCATCGGCCTTGTATTTACCTAAACATATATTTGCATTTTTTCATTTAATTTTATTCAATACATTTCAAGAGTTCAGAATTTTATTCTGAACTCTAAATTCTGTTACTCTTTTGTCCTCTAAGTCTTACAACTCGTTAAACTACTTCTACTTATACAATTGTAAGCAAAACTTTTTACAGCTTTTTTTGACTTGCATTTGTTCGAGCAATACAGCTGCTTCAATTTCCAAACTATGCACTTACAAAAATATCTCTATTTTTTTTTAGATTTTCCTCTAACTTAATTTCACAAATAATTAATGCTGTGCAGTAAAAGCTCATACTACATACCTTGTATTGCAATACAAGCTCATACTACATACCTCGTTTAGTAGTAAAAGCTCATACTACATCCCTTGTATTGTAGTAAAAGCTCATACTACATACCATGTATTGCAGTACATTCTCATACTAAATACCTTGTATTGTAGTACAAGCTTATACTACATACCTTGTTTTACTCTTATGTTACTCACATATTACATATTGTATATACTGCTTTCTGATTAAAACATGGCCCACTTGTGTCTTTAAGCCAACTGACTTATAAAGTACTTTCTGTTGATCATTTTTTTGTAAACCATGTATTACATGCTATGTATCTTATAGTATCTAAAAATTATAATAATATTTCTTAGGCCAAACCTTTCTTCCGCCATGTATTTAAAATTGTGTCAAAACCATGTGGTTGCACTAACATGCCACATACAATTACCTTTTTATTTTCTCTAATGTTTTTATTAAGTACAACGTAGAGTACTTTCTTTTCTTCTCTTGTCCTACCCATTTAAAGTGTACATATACACCAAAAAGTATATACCAAAACTATAGTAAGCACTGACCTTCTAATAGCTAATCTTAATAAGATCGTTCTCATTCACTTGTCTTATCTCAAATGCATGTTTTGTTCATTTTTTCATGTTGGGAGTGAATTAGATTAAAAATTTTCTACTTTCCTTATTTCATTAAAAGTAATTTTTGTTTATTTATAGTTCACTTAATAAATCATTTCAAATATTTCTTTAATAATAAAAATAACAGAATAATAATAAAATAACAATAAGAAAAACCAGAAAAAATAAACTAAAACTTTTTAAGGTATCTCATAAAAAAAAGTAAGAGTTTGCTGGAAAAAATCTAGCCTAATATATTTTGGAATAAAAACTATTCCACAGGTATTTGTGGATCAGGTATTATTCGTTAATATTAATGCGTGGATATTATCATATTTACCATGAAGATCAAGAATACAACATTAAAAAAAAAAAAAAAAAAATTAAACCTTTAGGCCTTGTAATAACACTCTCCAAACATTTACCTCATGGATGTTCACCCAAACAAAATCAGTAGAATATCCTTTGCTCTACCTCATGGGTGTGCATCAGAAGGTCAAGATGTGCTAAAAACGAACTTTACTATCAACAAAATTCACTATTTAATCCCATTCAATTTTTTTAAAAACTATGTTATTAAAAAAGTAACTATGAAAAAAAGCATCGGATAAAAATTGTAAGAAGTTTTAGTATAGAATATCAGAAAGAATAAAACAAGAAGATAGTTTGACCAATGATGTTAACCAAAATGTGGTGTCTGACCACTGAATTGTTTTAATTCAAAAAAGAAGCTACATTTTTTCATATTTCTAAATAAAAAAGCCCTGCAGATTGCTGTAATTAATTTAAAGTTAACAAATAAAAAAAAAAATTAGTAGAGAATTATATAAGTTGACATTCAAACAGCAATGGAGACTGGTATCGACTCTTAGAAGCTAGTTTAGAAGATGATGATCAGAAAGTGATCTCATTAATATAAACAAATAATTTTTTATTGTTTTTGGATTCTATAATCAAATATATAGTAAGAGCAACAAAAAACTTTATTTTCATTTTTGTAAGTTAAAAAGTGTTTTGCTAAAATTATGCAAAAGATATCAAGTCTTTGTACTTAATAAAAAGTCTTCTCTATTACCATATTTAAAAATGTTAAAAAGTCTTCTCCATTACCATATTTGAAGATGTTAAAAAGTTTTTTCACTTGTGATATTTAAAGATGCTAAAAAGTCTTTTCAATTGCGATATTTGAAGATGTTAACAAGCCTTTTCACTTGCGATATTCGAAGATAATAAAAAGTCTTTTCAATTGCAATATTTGAAAATGTTAAAAAGTTTTCTCACATGCAATATCTGAAGATAATAAAGTCTTTTCAATTGCGATATTTGAAGATGTTAAAAAGTTTTCTCATTTGCCCTATTTGAAGATGTTAAAAAGTTTTCTCATTTGCAATATTCGAAGATGTTAAAAATTGTCTTTTCAATTGCAATATATATGTTTAAAAGTTTTCTAATTTACTAATTTTTTCTAATTTTCTAATTTTTGTTTAAAGATGTTAAAAAGTTACATTTCAATCTTTTAAGCTTTTTTTTTAAATAATATTTTGAAATTTTTTAATAAAATGTAAAAGTAATTTGTAATAATAGTAATTCATTTTGGTTGATGAAATAAATTTCACAAAAATCCAAGTTTCCATAAAACGTAAGTAGAGAATGTAATTTTGTTTTGATAATTTTGCAATATTATCAAAAAATCACACTAAAAAAATATTACATAACATCACCCTAAAAAAATGATTGATTGTTATTGTTGACTGTTTTAATTAATAAACAAAGAGAACTGCCAGTGACTTTTAATTCTAAGGGACAATGGTATTTGTTTAATAAGATGTAGACAAGTTTTTAAAAAGTTTGAAGTAAGCATCAAGAAAACTCTTTTCAATGACAAATGATCATGCTTATTATCAAATCCTCTTCATATCAAATAATGATGACAAAAACTGAAAACAACAAAAACCTTAAAATGTTAGTCTCTCTTACCATAAACTATATGTTCATCAAAAAATTTTGAACTTTATACAATAATCTCTTGTTGTCTTAAATTAAGGGAAGCTTAAACTTTACAAGATCATATAAACCAAGTTAATAATAATTATTTAGACTTTTTTTTTTCTCAACCCAATGTGAACATTATCAAGTTGTCAGGGAAACATTTCTGTTAAATTACAACATCACTTTTATAAAGTTTTGAAATTAACAAATTTTGTTTTGGGTTTTTTGCAAAAACATGAAATTATTCTAAAAGTTAATATAATGATGATTATTTTTATTAATAAAATTTTTTTTCCTTCTATTCAGATTTGATAATCACTCCATTTTGAGGAATTGGTACCTTTTTGAATTGTTTATTTTGTATTGTATAAAGCCAAACAGCCCACAATCAACAAAAACACAAAAAAAGTCAAAAAAATTTTAAATCCTTAAATCCTTCAACCCTAGACTCAAAAACTTTTGCATAAAGATGAAAAAAATTTAAAAATTCTGAAAAAGTAGTTGAGCATATTCATTTGGTTTAAGCTACAGCTCAATCTTGTTAATATTATTTAATATATATATATATATATATATATATATATATATATATATATATATATATATATATATATATATATATATATATATATATATATATATAAATATATATACATATTCTCTTACTATTATACATATAAATGCATACTTTATTAGCATTATGATGTCATACTAAAATAGGGATCTGCCAGGGGCTTCAGTACCTACATCGACTGACTATCTAGGTAAGGAGTACTGCTACATTGACAGAGTTTGGCTTGGGGCAGCAATTATTTTTTTGCATTATTCTTCATTTTTTCCTTTTTTTTTCCACATGTGGAATTAGTACGAAATTAGTTATAATTATATATACTAAAGACTATGTACATTGTTTGACATTTTTTGGTGACTTTTTTACACAATATCATTATACACATTTACCTTATTTCGTTCATTGATATTCTTATATTTATTTAATAAAAAAAGTAAAAAGTTAAAAAATACAAAAACAAAACAACTAACATAAAGACAATCTACAAATAATTGCATTCCATGTCGATTAAAGAATTCAACACAGTTGTCAGCTGTTTCATCTATAAAGTATTTGCATTTGATACATTTTTTTTCAAAAAAAAAATTATATTTAAGTAATAAAACCTTAAAAATAGATAAACAAACAAAAAAAAAAGATCAATAAAGAAAAAACCTGTTATATTCCATAAAAAAGTCCAACAATAAGTAATAAGTACTTCACTTCTCTAAAGAGAAAAAAAAATAAAAAAAAACATTTCTCAATTAAAAAACAAGACATCTTGAGAAATTTTGTACAAAAATATTCATTTTGAGCTACTTTTGTTGCAACTATATATTGGTCAATGGCGTAGCCAGATTAGTGATTTTAATAGATGCTAAATTTTTTTTTCTCTATATTATACCAAGCATTGATGCAGTAGAAATGTACAAAAGACATTCGACTCTAAAACACTGAATATCTAATGAAAGTTTTCGATCTTCGCTACGCCCAATACTATAGAAATAATTTCATTAAACTAAATAAAATGATTAAATTAAGATATTAAAATTATTTATAGATGATATAAATATTTTTATTACTAAAAGCATTATCTGATTAAAATAGGCATTTAAAAAATTAAACTATGATGCGATAACAGGTCTGTTTTTTTGTTTTTTTTTTATGATTAATTATTTATTATAATTAAAGTTTAATAAAATGTTTATTAAAAATTTCTTACAAAAATTTAGTCACACAATAGAAAATGCTTACACAAAAATGATAATAAAATATGCAAGCTTCTCCTAATGTCTAAAAAATTAATAAGAAAGTAAATTAAAAATTATTTTTATATATATAAATGTATATATAAATATGTATATATATATATATATATATATATATATATATATATATATATATATGTATATATATATATATATATATATATATATATATATATATATATATATATATATATATATATATATATATATATATATATATATATATATATATATATACACATATTTATATTTTATATATTATTTTATAATAAATAAAAAACTTGATTTTAATTTAATATTTAAATAATTTAAAGTGCTGTCAAAGCTGTCAAACTCTTGAAAAAGTCTATCATGACCAAAGCAATACAGAAATATGGTCTACTATGATCTGGAGTGATGAGAGTAACTTTCAGCTATTTGCACATGTAGAACAACAAAGACAAAGTGGCCTATGCTTTTTCAAAAAAGGAGAAAGGATAATTGCTGTCAGATAATAACAAGTTTTAGAAAATTGAATATTTATTAATACTACGCGAAAACTTATATGCAAGGTGGTGCACCCTGCCATTATATATATATATATATATATATATATAATATATATATATATATATATATATATATATATATACACACACATATATATACATATATATATATATATATATATATATATATATATATATATATATATATATATATATATATATATATATATATATATATATATATATATATATATATATATATATATATATTAACTATAGTATAAATGTTAATTAATTTGGCTTATCTTTATAGAGCTTTTTCAGAAAAATAAAGAAAAAAATGAATATCTAAACACGCATTTATAGTTGTACGTTTGTATATATATCATTTGAACACGATGAAATTCAACATCTTTAAATCGTTAACTACTCAAAAACTACTTGACAATTTTTTTTACTTTTTTTGCACACAGCTAATCCTAATGTGTTGTTGCTGATGTGTTATTGTTTGATTGCAATGGTAATAAGTATTAGTTATCATTATTAAAATAACTATATTAACTATATTACGTGCATTACTAATTTAGTTTACAAATTTCCATTTTAGGATTAAAAAATAAGTAAACAAATATTAAATCAAAAAAAGTTTTAGAATTTTTTTTTTCAAAATCCTCACAAAATGTCACAAGTTGTCAATTTCAAAATTTACCGGTGTTTCTTGATCATCAGATGGATTTATTTTGCAACAATATAAACTTAATCTATTAAAAGAGAAGATGGAAATGGAAAAAAAAAAGTATTTAAAGATAAATATAAAGCAAAATCAATCATTCGCTCTATAAAGGCAAATCCATGTCAGTTGCAGAGAGATAGGAAAGATACTTTTACAAGATACAGTTACAGAGATACAGGAAAATCAGTTGCAGAGAGATCAGATACGAAAAGTACTTAGATCTCAAGAATATAAAGCATATCATAAAAAGATAACTCCATTGATGGAGAAATTAAAGCAATTTGTTATTCAAAAAATATAAACTTTTAAACCAAGAAAAATTGTACATAATTGAAAACAATGAAACCTATTGCAAAAGAGACTTTTTACAATTACCAGGGCAGCAATATTTTTATCAGTTGAAAAGTAGATATGGTGCCAAAAAATTCAAGCATATTTAAACTGAAAAATTTGATCTCAAGTTCCTTATATGGCAAGCAATCTGCTCCTTTGGTATTAAAAGTAAAACATACATTACTCATAAAACTTTGAACGCAGATTTTTACATAAAAGAATGCCTTAAGAAACACCTTTTGCCATTTATTAAAAAGCATGAAATGCCTAAATTATTTTGGTCTGACTCGGCTATAATTCATTACTACAAGAAGTCTCTGGAATGGCATGAACCAAATGGTGTCTAACTTGTACCTCAGGAAGCAAGTCCTCCAAATTGTCTTGAGCAATGAGTTATTGAAAGTTGTTGCTCAATTATAAAAAGAATCTTATTGAAACGCAAAAAGTTAGCTACAAATAAAGAAGGTTTTGAAGAAAAATCGATAGCCAAATAAACTTATGTCTCAAATTGATGTCAAGTACTTGGAAAAGATATTTGATTTCTATCTAAGTATCCGATTAGATCTGTCAAGTAGTTTTTGCGTAATTAATAATTAAATGGTGCTGAATTTCATTGTGTTCAACCGCTATATTTATATATATATATATATATATATATATATATATATATATATATATATATATATATATATATATATATATATATATTTATATATATATATATATATATATATATATATATATATATATATATATATATACATACAGATATATATATATATAAATAAATATATATATATATATATATATATATATATATATATATATATATACAGATATATATATATTTAAATATATATATATATATATATATATATAATATATATATATATATATATATATATATATATATATATATATATATATATATATATATATATATAAATTAAAAGTATATATGAAGAGATTAAATAAAACTCACAATTTTCAAATTTATGCTTAACTAAACTTAAAAACCAATATTTTAAATATTTATCTTTTCTAATTTTTCTAATAAGCTGTAAACAAGACATTATTTTAACTTTATTATTAAACTATTATTGTGATAAAGAACTAAACCATTAATATTGATTTTTATAATTAAAAAAAATTAAAATGTTTAGTCCAACACATTTGCAAACTTTTGCTTCACTATAGCTGCTAAGTAAAATTATACTGTAAAAAATTATAACATAAATGTTTATAAAGTACTGGATCTGATTATCTGTATCATCCTAAAAAGTATATAAAATACTTTTATGGATACATGTTTATTATGGATACCATCATGTATTTTATGGATACCATCATGTATATCATCGAGGCTTGAAAGTAAACATATGATACAAACTATGGAAACATATAATACAAACTAAATGATAGCAAAACATTTTATAAAACATGCACACAATAATATTTTTGTGTGCATGTTTTAAGTTATGTTAGCCATACCTGATCCTAAGAACAGAAAAACATCTAACAGTTCAGTTCCTCAAAGTCTATTCAATTTTACAAGTTATCAAATATAGTTGAATAATGATTAAGAAAAAAGACTACAAGTAAAATCCTTTACATGAAACAACTTTGGCTTATGTGTAATTATGTGTACTAAAAAAATTGAAGACCACATTTTTTTTGTGTGAAAATACTTGAAAAAACACAATACATTAACCATAAGATAATACCCCTCTTCATAACCTGAAACACCAAGTTCAAATCAACTTTATTACTTCAATATCACCCAAATTGAAATGCTTGGTATCACACAAACTGAAATTCTTGAAACAGCCTTAGTGTTACAAGTACAACAATAAATGTGTTAGACCCTTTAAAAAAGATTTTACAGAAAATTAGGAAATTAAATGTTTTCTTTAATAGAAAAATCAGTTGTCTTTTACTAACAGTGCCAGTAAATCATATCTAATCTGTTATGAAAATTTAAATAAAATATAAACTAAAAAGTTTCAACTTTTTAAAATGATTTTAAATAACTTTTTTTTTAATTAATTAACTAATTATACCAGTGTCATTATTTTTTTTTCATTCATCAAATTTCATTCTTTTTAAAGTAATTTCTTACAAAAAAATTTATAAACTATAATAAAATTTATAAACCATAATAAAATATTTATGTACTTATTTATACTTTGCACATAACAATATTTGTTAAAAACTGCAAAAATTTAAAATTAAATTGCATATGGAAATTTTGAAATCATAAAAACACTAAACTTATAAAAAATATTCATATACGTTATAACAAGTAAACAACAAACATATATTGGCTATAACAATAAATATATATTGGCTATAACTACTACTAAAATTGTGTTTTAAGGAAGCAGCCTCTTAAAGGAAAGTCTCTTTAAAGAATAACCTTTTTTCAAAACAATAGTGGTACAAAATATTTATTCATTTCTTCTCAATAATTAAAAATTAAAAAAATAAAATATGTTAATTATTTTGTAAAAGAAATATATTAATGAAAATACTTCTTGGTCTCATCTAACCAATTTGGTCATAGCCACTTCCACAAATTTAGAGAAATATATTGATGAAAATACTTTTTGGTCTCACCTAACCAACTTGGTCATGATCACCTCCATAAATTTAAAAGAAATAGAAATTGGTATAGTAATATAGTAATTTATATTTCCTTTAAATTTCAAACTAAGCTTTATCTTCGTTAAGATTTAAAAGATTCTTGTCTTAACTTATCTGTGCTGAAGTGTTATATTTTCTAGAACCTTATCCAGGACAAATTTTACAAAGATCATGTAAGGATAGAATTTCATCGAAGTTTGAAGACTGTCAAGTGTCAAACATACCCATCAAAAATTTTCATACTGTTACAAACAATTTTTATAACTTAATACTAAACTCCTGTTTGTTGGATTAATTTTTTTTTATTAGCAACCAAAATGTTAAAAATAAAGAAACCATATCTCATAATAATGTAACAATATTAAAACCAAACCTCATTATCTTGAATTCTTAAATTCATTATTTGCAAAATTATCTAAAAAAATGAAATACATAGTTAATTAACTTAATTATATAAACAATTTTTAATAAAAAAGTATTTTAAATAGTTACGTGAACAGCCCCTCTCTTTCCAACATCTTCTTTTTGGGATTGGGTACTCTATAAAAACAAAAGTGTATTAAAAAATAAATATATTACAAAAATTATATTATCATTTTCTGCAATTAAACAAAAAAAATATCAACATAATTTATCACCATAATTTAACTATAAAATAATAAACATAATTTAGCTATAAAATAATTAACATAATTCAATTATAAAATAATTAACATAACTTAGCAATAAAGTAAATAACATAATTTAGCTATAAAATAATTAATGGATGGGAGGTTTACTTAAACTTGAATGTGAGGCTAACTTAAAGTTGTTTTTATTTCAGATATTAGTGTTGATGGCTATTACCCTTTGATTTGCAAAGACTCCAATAGTCACATGCAACCCTCAGAATTAGAGTCTGCATTCGGCAATTCCAACCTAACTACCAAACTGAAAGTGTTTGAGATCAGCAAAAAATTGCCAACCTTGTTTCTATGTTTTTTGGTCAGACCTTTGTATCAAAAAATATTTGCCGACCTGATGCCGACCTTAAAAAGATTGAGGTGGGCAAACTATTGTCGACCACATTTTTCCTAATTCCAAGGGTTGCACATGCTTTACCTGGGCATATACTTAGGTATCAGTTCATCTATTTGTTGTGAAATTAGGTTTGAATTCTTTGAATATACTTTTATGTGCTTTCATTTTGCGACTGTTCACTAAATTACCTTAGTTTTTGCTATTGGTGACTTTTCAAATAAATTCTTTGATTTGTGTCTTGTTACTCAGATTCATTCTTTGACTTTATCACCTGACAAATGCAGCAATTATCTCAGACTTTATCACCTGACAAATGCAGCAATTATCTCAGACTTTATCACCTGACAAATGCAGCAATTATCTCAGACTTTATCACCTGACAAATGCAGCAATTATCTCAGACTTTATCACCTGACAAATGCAGCAATTATCTCAGACTTTATCACCTGACAAATGCAGCAATTATCTCAGACTTTATCACCTGACAAATGCAGCAATTATCTCAGACTTTATCACCTGACAAATGCAGCAATTATCTCAGACTTTATCACCTGACAAATGCAGCAATTATCTCAGACTTTATCACCTGACAAATGCAGCAATTATCTCAGACTTTATCACCTGACAAATGCAGCAGTTTTATCTCAGACTTTATCACCTGACAAATGCAGCAATTATCTCAGACTTTATCACCTGACAAATGCAGCAATTATCTCAGACTTTATCACCTGACAAATGCAGCAATTATCTCAGACTTTATCACCTGACAAATGCAGCAATTATCTCAGACTTTATCACCTGACAAATGCAGCAATTATCTCAGACTTTATCACCTGACAAATGCAGCAATTATCTCAGACTTTATCACCTGACAAATGCAGCAGTTTTATCTCAGACTTTATCACCTGACAAATGCAGCAATTATCTCAGACTTTATCACCTGACAAATGCAGCAATTATCTCAGACTTTATCACCTGACAAATGCAGCAATTATCTCAGACTTTATCACCTGACAAATGCAGCAATTATCTCAGACTTTATCACCTGACAAATGCAGCAGTTTTATCTCAGACTTTATCACCTGACAAATGCAGCAATTATCTCAGACTTTATCACCTGACAAATGCAGCAATTATCTCAGACTTTATCACCTGACAAATGCAGCAATTATCTCAGACTTTATCACCTGACAAATGCAGCAATTATCTCAGACTTTATCACCTGACAAATGCAGCAGTTTTATCTCAGACTTTATCACCTGACAAATGCAGCAATTATCTCAGACTTTATCACCTGACAAATGCAGCAGTTTTATCTCAGACTTTATCACCTGACAAATGCAGCAATTATCTCAGACTTTATCACCTGACAAATGCAGCAATTATCTCAGATTTTATCACCTGACAAATGCAGCAATTATCTCAGACTTTATCACCTGACAAATGCAGCAATTATCTCAGACTTTATCACCTGACAAATGCAGCAATTATCTCAGACTTTATCACCTCATAAATCCAGCAGTTTTATCTCAGACTTTTTAATGTTTTTTATCTTTGTTAAAACTTTTATTATTAAATTATTTTAAAATTAAAATTATTAACCTTGACAAATATAAAATTTTTATTAACAACATATTAAAATACATTAAACTAAACAGCTTAAATTTTATTTCTCAAGTCTTTTCATGAAACATGAATTACATCACCTTTTTTTCATGAAACATGAATTACATCATCTTTTTTAAAATATTCTACTTTTCAAGAAAACTATATTGCTTATTTTGGGCTTGTATAAGATAATAATGTAAAACAAATATTTGTACCTTATTTCAAATGTACATGTTGTATGTATGCTTGAAACAAGGTAACCTTTTCAAAATATAGAAAGAAAATATAACTCTTGTCATTTTCAAAATTAATTTTACAAGATTTTAATAGGAAAAATAGTTTCTTTTGACACCAGGTTCAAGCCAGGTTTAATTAGTTAATCCACAAAGTGCATATAAATTTTTTACAGGTTAATTTATAAAAAATTTTAATAAAAGTATTATTTTTAAATTTTTAGTTTGCTAAAGTTATGAGTAATACTTTTACAAAAGAGTAAGCACTCAAACTAAGTCAAATTTTTGCTTTATATTTTTTTAATATAACCTTTTTTTAGTTTATTTTTAAAAAAGATATATTTGCTTAAATTTTCCATTAGAAATTGTTCATAAATTACGCAACGCTAAATTTTGCAAATAAACAAAACAAAAAAGTTCAAAAGTTTTCCCTCGCAGAGCCCTAGGTTAAATAAAAAATCAAAATAAAGCATAAAATTAAATGAAAATCATTCCGTAAAAGAGTTTAAAATCTCCAACCTCTGTTTTTACAATACACTTAGTGTTGCACAATGGATAATCTCTTACCTTATGGATAATCTCTTACCTTAAATTTAAACAAGTTTTTACAAACGCTTTAAGTTGTAAAAGCATAAAGACTTTGATTTTATAAATCAAGTTATTCTAGAAAGAATCAAGAGTGTATAACATTCCCTTATAATATTTCTACTAAAGCAGAAAAGAGATTCACATTGGCACGACCAAGTTGTAGACTTAATAAACCGAACCTTTTTTTTTATGGTATCTGACAACTTGAAAATTAGTTATTATCCAGCCTCTAAAATATTCAAAACTAACAAGTTATTAACTTCTTAAATTCAATCATCCAAACTATATTGAATATAAAGCTAAGGATGATGATAAATGAACATTACTATGATAATTAAAATAAACAGTTTTTTTCAAGAACTAATTTTTTTAATAAACATTTATTTATGATTATTCCTGGCTCTTCCCCAGTCTCTCTTTCTTTAAAAATAAAACAAAAACAAAACAACTTAATAAACAATATATATATATATATATATATATATATATATATATATATATATATATATATATATATATTAATTTACTTAACTTTGTCTACCATTATTAAATTATTAACGCTGCCTCTATTATTAATTATCGCATAAATTTAATTAATCAATTAATCATCACATAACAGTTAATCATATGGAGGGACAGATACAGTAAAAAAATGTAACTTTGGTGAATGACAAATCAAGAAAGAGTTTTGGTTGGTGTACTAGAGATGATAGCTACCATGATATTTGGAGAAAAGAGAATGAGATGGAGCCTTATGACAGAGAGTTTTGTTAGAGATCAAATTCACAAGCCCCAAGCTGTTACAATAGAGATATTAGATTCAAGATTGGTTAATATTTTAAAAAATCTTTATAAAATTTAAAATCTTTATGAAATAAATATATAACAAAAGTATATCTATAATTAAAATAATATAGTATATCAATATACTTAAGTATATATAAAAAATGAAATTAATGTCCATGCATTATATATATATTCCAAGGTTTATATTTTTGCAATAAGTTAAAACTTTTAGTTTTGCTGACTTTTTAAAAACAATTGTTATTTGTTCATTCAAAACATAATAGTAAACATAAAATATATATATATATATATATATATATATATATATATATATATATATATATATATATATATATATATATATATATATATATATAAAGAAAGTTGATGTTGTGGCACTTGCAGCTTGTAGCCACTAGATTGCTCAGTACATCACTGAAACCCCCGACAGCAGGCCATTTCAATGTGATGCCAGAGTGCTTATCTAAACTTGCATTTATAATTACACACACATTCACAACAGCTTTTAGATATTCATGAGAACTTGAATAAAATATTTATTGAGAAAAATTGAAAAAGAAATTATTAAAAAAATACTACAAAGCTATTTTTAAGAAATAAGCTTATAATTATTGAATTATATTAAGGATATATAAAATAAAATAACATATCAATGTATATTCTGATTTTAAAAGTTTAAGATGTACATTTTTACGATATTTGTTTTTGGTTTAAATAGATAAACATTAAAATATTGTTAAAACAAACATTGAAATATTTGAATAAATATTTCAATGTTTATTTTAACCTCACTAAACTCTATATTTTTGACTTTTTCAATTGTTTTAGTTAATATAATGAACAAAATTTATAAAGTTCATCAAGGTGCTTGGCAATTCTTCTTAACCTTGCTATAATTACATACTGTTTATATCTTACAAAATGTATATTAACACGTCAAAAAAAAAAGGTATACAAGCAAAGAAAAAAGAACAACTCAAATCAACTGTGACAACAGTTTCTTCATATATAAATAAAACTAAAAAGATATTTTTTTTAAACTCACGTGACAAATCAAGTGATTAAATAAAAGTAATGTAGTTCGCTGTAAATATCTGTCTGTATGATTAATCAAGGCAATCAAAAATGCATCTACAACCCTCATGTACATGAATTCCTAAACAAAATATAAAATTGTTTTTTAATACTATTAACTCATTAAAATATAAATAATAAATTTTAATTAAATTTATGTTAAATATATAAATAAATTTACATAAAGTCCTAAACAAATATTTGTGCCACATGGATTATTGTGATAATTTTTAATTTATGTCACATTGAACATTGTGATTTTTTTTACTTTAATAGGTGATTGACAGTAAAAACAGACATTAAAAAAATCTGTTAGCTAAGAATTTTTTTTTCTTAAGTTATTTGAACTATTTTAAAAGCCAATGACCTAAATCAAATGAAACAATGACCTCCTAAATGAAAAATATCGAAACATTTTATGAAGTTACAATCTAAGATTTTCTAGCAAATTTAGCTTTTAGTTAGTCCCTTTTGATTGCCCAGCGGTAATCTGCTAACATATTTCACAGTCCCAGAAATGTTCAGGAAAAAGATTTAGGTGTTTGAAAAAATGAAATGTTAAAAAACGATTTTTACAAAATGAATCTATAGTTACATGTTGTAACCCAATGCTTGATAAGCCAACTTAATGCTTGATAAGCCAACCCAATGCTTGATAAGCTAACTTAATGCTTGATAAGTCAAGCCGATGCTTGATAAGCCAACAATACATGCGTAAACCATATCTTTATAAAACAATCGTTCATTCTGTCTTAATTATCTGATATTCACATACATAATTGTTCAACTTACTATAAACCAACTGAAGCCTTAGTAGCAGAGCAAAAATTTTAAAATTGTCATTGATTTCGAAAGAATATGTGTTTTATTGAATTTTTTAAATAATGTTTTCATAAGTTTATTTCACATTAGAAATATGGATCAGAGGTACAGAAAGAAGCAAAAAAATAATTTTTGTAATGCAGTAACTGCTTTATTGAATAAACTATGAATATCTTAAGTAAACTATATATATATATATATATATATATATATATATATATATATATATATATATATATATATATATATATATATATATATATATATATATATTAATAAAGAAAAAACAACTTTTTCTATGGTACTTTAAGTTTCTTGCCTATACGGCAATCATCAGCCATTGAATACAAAATCAAAAACAAAAAACCTGCTAAAAATTACAAAATACTGTGTAGTGGGATCTTAATGTCGCTAAGACACTCTTGATGGCAACCAAAGAAAAAAAAAAATATCAGCTAATCTCCGGTGTCAAAAAAAGATAAAAGGAATTTATTTTTGTGTCTGCATTTTGAAATCAACTCATTTCGTTTATTTAATAAGTTATCACCTTTATATGTTAAAATGAGGAATTTTTCGAATAAGCAAAGATGGCAAATATTTGACGTATTTAGTTATAAGTATTGCAATGTTTTACAATTTTTCACTTAATTAAGGGTGTAAACATTTTGTCTTTTATGTCCCAAAATTCTTTAGACAACTCGGTATTATTTTTATATTTGTTAATGTTAAAAGATTTTAGGTGGTTCGCATACCGAGATTTGAATGGAGTTTCACATAAGCCAAAATATACTTTTTCTTTGTAGTCAGGTTTATTTGACGACACAGTGGCTTGATAAACAATGTTTTTTGTCAAGCACTGATTGTTCATGGGACAGATGGATTTGTTGATACAATTGCATGTTTTTCCCTCATCTTTATCTTGGCTATATAATATCCTATGGTTGTGCGAATTAATGATGGACTTGATACCTGGCATACATGAGTAGCTTATTTTAATGGTATTTCGATTAAATATCCTAAATGTTTGTGACCAACCGGAAAATGTAGGTCTACCAAGTTCAAAAAACAAATGCCTATTTTTGTTGCAACATTGGTACTGAAAGGTGGATTGTACCAGATTATGTTTCGCTTGTGATTTTTGAATTGGATCGGCTTTTTATTTGCAGATAAAACCTGATTTAGATAATGCATCTTGATAAAGAGGAATGGATTGTTTAAAAATATTTTCGTTAGAAGATTGCTTGACAATCTTAGGAGTTCTTAAGGAGGTATATATATATATATATATATATATATATATATATATATACATATACATATATTTATATAAAAAAACAACAGTCTGAAATGCAACTTATTTGTTATTTATATAAAAACTGCATATGAAGGGATCCTTAATTAGGTTGGATTTTAATTGGTTAAATTCTTCACATGTCATGCAACAAACAGCCCAGGATTTGTCTTGATTGACCACAGTTAAACCAAAATACTGGTTTAACAACTCTCCAAGGCTTTGACTTCATTTTTTAAAAATTTGACTTCATTTTTTTAAAGTTCACCACAAATATAACAAAAAGAAGTAGGATCATTGCTAAACCCTATCTTGACTTTGTTAACCAAGTTATTAAATCACAATATTTTGATATAATCACAGGCAAATAATTTTAAGATATTTTTTTGTGAACATTCTATTACTTTTATTAGTGTAGTCCTAAGTATTATTGCAGTTAATATTTTTTAACATAATTAATGTTAACAAACTTTATGTTAAATACATAAATATTAATGCAAAGTTAAAGTTAATAGACCTTTTCAAATATATGTGTTTAAAGGCATTAACTTAATTAAGCTTAGAGATAATTTAGAATATATATTTATAAAAAATCATATTTCATTTTAGCATTTCATTGATATAATTAAACAAGATCTCAGTTAAATCAACTGCGTTGATTTAGGACACCAATCTTGTGTTAGAATGACTGTTGTTCTTTTTATCAAATAAGCCTGTATAAAGAAATATATTGTTAGAAAATATTATATGTAAGAGTTGAAGAGATTTTATAAATAATAAATTCAAGATGGTAAACAGTAAATTTCCAACTCAAACTTGATTTTAAATTCAATCAAATTAAAAACAGGTATTAAATTAATAACTTAATCATCAACTGTTTGAAAAACTAACTTTGGTCACAAAAAGGTAAATAAAGTAATAAATAAAAAACAATTTAATGTTATAATTATAAATGTTACCACTTCAGCAGGAAACGTGTAGTTTGTCAAAGCGAGACAACTGTTCTTTTGCAGCTGGAAACTGTGTTGAAAAGTCTCCATGCTTGTTAAAATTGCGCTAACTATAACTCTAAAATTATCAAAAAATTTGAAACACTATATAATAAAAGTATTTTCTAAAGGATGAAAATTTTTCGTAAAGAAAAAAAAATTTCTAAAGAATTTATATTTAGAAAGCTTATGTAAATCATTATATCAAAGAAATTTAAAAAAACATAGAATGAAAATCAAATTATACAGAAATTATATACATCATTTATTACCAATATTTGTATCTAAATAATATATTTTAAATATTTATATACATTTATATATATATACACACACATACACACACACACACACAAGTATATATATATATATATATATATATATATATATATATATATATATATATATATATATATATATATATATATATATATATATATATATATATATATATATATTGATTAGAAAATTGATTATATAGAGAGAAAATTGATTATATATATATAATTAGTTTATTGGTTCTAAGGACAACTGGTAGTAAGGTTTGCCGAACTCTGTGGTAGTTCTTATAGAGGCTGATTAAATCAACAGCTGTAAAATATTAGAGTATTAACAGCGTCATATTGCACAAAGATGCCTTCCCTGTTTACATTGGTTTACATTGTCAAGGTCGAAAAAGGAGCCATTTGTTAGACTTAATTCACCTCCTGAATTAGACTGCTAATTCACCTCCTCAAGGCCAAGAAGGCCATAACAGACGAGGAGACTACTTATTTGTGGTTATAACCCTCTCTCAACTCTATAACTCCGAAACAAACAAATTGACAAAACAAGGCCTCTGCATAGAGAAACGAGTTTTACTTTTGACAACAGTTTTATAACTTATTACTTATGGGTGTCATGCACTTTCTGTGATTCAGTCAAGTTCTCAAATAACTTAAAACATGGCTTAAGTATCTAAAAATATTAAATATAAAAAACCATCTCTAATTGTTTTAATTTATCTTTATTGCCTTCAAGGCAACTTTTTATCTGTTGAATCTTACGGCTTGCAAAATTTACTAGACTTGCTTGCAAAACTCACATGAATTGCTAGCTCACATGAGCTCTTTGTGAAATTTTAATTTGTTTAATCTTTTAATCTCAGCTATTAAATAAATTTGCACATCAATTCTTCAACTAATCACCTTTATGTTTTTTGTTCAGCCAATCACCTTTCTTTTTTTTTTTGTTCTACTTCTTCTTAAGAACAAACATTTTTTTTTTATCCAGGATGCTTAAAAATTAAGGAAACAACCAGTTTGTAAATACATAAATTTTAGTAGAAACTTTTGTATGGTCCTATACAACCATCAGCAAAATATATTTTTAAACATAATTGAAAATTTTGCCTTTAAGTGACTACAATTATTTGAAATATTTCATAAACACGGATTACATTACTTGTAAAGTTGTTGGATACAAAGCAGTGAGAACCATGTCTAAGTATACATTTTTCATCTTTTTTAGTGCATCACTGTAAAAAGCATAGTATTTGAGTGATAATTGTATTACAAAATATGCTACAAAAGCTCAACTTTCATTAAATTGACTTATAATGATAAGTCAATCAAAAGAAACTGTGATTGGGAGTGTGCATTAAAAGAATGAAACTGTACTTTTTCAAAACAAAATGCTAACATTTTAATGAAAGTCAGAACAATTGCTGACAAATTCAATAGCATTTCACAATAAATAGCTTGCAATTATAATTTATCTCAATTTTCTAGTCAACTAACATCTGTATTCAAAATGGTTATGCAATATCGCCAATTTTATTTCCCAATTATCATGCTCTATTTTCACTCCAAAAAAAAGGAAAGGTGGAGGAGGGGGGAGGATCTTGGTAAAAGGGTGGGTGGGAGTTTTTTATTCTTAGCAATGACTGATATAAAATTTTTCTGATTTTTTTTTTGTTTAGATTTGATATGTTTTTTTGTTGATAACCAGTAAAAATTATAAAACGGGAGGGTGGGAGGTCTTAATAAGCATGGGCTGGATGGGAAAAATTTCCAATAATTGACCCTCTTGTGTATTAAGCACCTAAGAGTAAGCACTAAATATTAGTGTACTTAAGTTTAAAGTTAATTAAAAAAAATAATAATAATAATAGCAATAATGGCAACCATGTGAGTAAATGCTAATGCGTCTTCTAATGTTAAAAATTGTCTAATGCAACTTAAAAAAAGAGAATTAGAAGATCACACCTATATAAGAAGATACATACCTAGCCTTAAGAGAATATATGGTCAAAGTGCCATTTATAGCAAAGGAAGAACTGCTGTCTTATTTCAATATAATAAATATACATAATAAATGTACATAATGCTATTTATAGCAACTTAACAACTTCATTAATATTCTATTATATTTACAATTTTTTTAAAATTACGTTTTGAATTGAACTTAATTTTAATTTTGAATTTTTTAAATTACTTTTTGAATCTAAAAAATATTATTCAACTACAATGGTTCAAGTATTACAACTCTTCATTTTCATTTTAATAATCAAAATGATTAAAATGCTGCAGAAAAAAACAAAAACAAAAACAAAATAAAAAAGCAAACTAATGAAAATATCATAATTAGGCAAAAACCAAAAACAAGGTAAAAACCTTGTAATAGATAACTTACTATAAAAACTTCATTAGCAAAAAAAACTTTTTTATTTTCAGTAGAAATAAATTTTTATTGCAGTTATTTGCTATATTTTTTATATTCTATACCAGATACTTTTTATTCTAATAAACTTTGTGCAGATTGGTTGATTAAAAACTCTTTTAAAAGTTTTACTTTTACTTTGGCACTTTGACCATACCTTCTAAGTAAGGGATCCTGATTTGCATAATCATCCTCTTTGGTCATGTGATAAAGTAAGGCACTAAAATAAAAATACCAAATTTATAAATACAAAAAAAAAAAATTAAATCATACACAAAAAAAACAACCTATTTATCAATGTTATTATTGTAAAACTTGATGACTAAAAATTTTATGTCAACACTTTATACAACATTCGGTAATATCCTAAATAGCCTGTGCAGCCATTAAATTAATATAAACTAATTTAAATTAACAAAGCTGATTGAACTAACGTTGAAGCAATATGGATGTCGTAATCGTTTTTGAATCTTTCCATTGCCTTGACAATGTTCTAAAAATGTAAACAGAACTTTTTATGTGGACCATTTTTTTTAAATAACATTTTTTGTAATGAAAATATTTCAAAAGTTGAAATATAAGTGATTGTTTCAAACTTAAATCAAATTATTGAGGTTGAATGAGTGTTTCATTTGATTATTCCAATCATCTGATTCACTTTTTATAACAAACTTATTGCTGAATTTATATTCACATATTTCTCATAAATATTTTTTATTATGACCTTTTTTTGATTTAATTAAAAATGGCTGAATATACAACTTAACGCAGTTAACACCTTTAAAAATGGCCGAATATACAACTTTATAGAAAATCAGAATCAAATATTTGTTCTTTTCTAATGTTGTCCAAATATAAGAGTTCCTATTGTTATTATTAGTGCAGGTGGTAGTAGTTGGTTGGTAGTAGTTTGGTAGTTATGAGTTAGTAGCATACAGTAGTATATAGGTAAATATTGGAGGTAGTGGATTGCTAATAGGTGGTTGGTGGTTGTCCCAAAAAACAACTTAATTACAAAATGTCTGCTCCTACCCTCTAAATGTATTCTTTATAATAGATTATTACTGAAATTGAAAACTTTTTGAAAAAAGAAATATTTTTAGGGGTAGCTCAAGTGCCTTAAACCTATGTTTAAGTGCCTTAAGTCTCTAGTATTATCAACATCAAAAAAAAAGTTCTTCAAAAGCATATGATGTTGTGTCTCAAAAGAAACAAAATTTAATGAAAATTTCAAAAGTAATCATCATTCATAAAAATAAAATATATTTTAAATTTCACTGCCTAAAAAATAACATTTTTAACTGAAACTTTATTAATTTTTTTATTTTTATTGTTTTTTCATAAAACTATGATAATTTTTAAATTATTATATAATTTCGCTTCTTTTGAGATCTAACATTATACACTTTTAAAGAACTTCTTTTGTAGAAAATATTAGCCTTATGTTTAAGGGACTTAAGGGAGCCCTAAAAATATTTTTTTTCGAAAATTTTGTAATTCCAGTATTATTTTATTATATAGAACACATTAAAAGGGTGAGACACCCTTTTATTCTAAACAAAAAGTTGTTTTTTGGGACACCTTAGTGGTCGTGGGATGGTAGTTGTGAGTTGTCAGTAGTAGAGAGTTAGCAGTACTAGGTTTGTAGCAGTCAATAGTAGTAAGTTGTCAGTAGTAGAGAGTTAGTAGTAGTGGGCAGTAGCGTAGAAATTAATTCATAAAAAATAAAGTTTATAAAACATTTTGATGTTTATGTAATAAAATTTTATAAATAAATACTTTTTTTTGAATATATTTCAAAGATAAATAAACTAAATAACAAACTTCTAATAAAACAGGGGGGGATTTGACACTTGATTTTTTTACAAAAAGCTGAGTAATCTTGTAAATCTATTTTTTATTATGCAAATCCATGTAACTCTTGTTACAGTTTCTAAAATTTTCATATCAGCATTTCTAAATAGGTAACAAACCTTGAACCTTGTGGGCCAAAAGTTCTACAAGCCTACTAGGTTTATTTAGAGACAAAAAATAAATAAATAAAAGAATTTCCAAAGTTTTAACAAACTTGTTGTACATGACAATTACAAAGCCATAAACAGGGATTAGGCCAACGAGGAGGGGTCAAGAATTTAATTTTATATTTAATTTTAATATATTATTTTTAATTATTTATAAATATGTGTTACTTATAAAAAACAATGTAAAGTATATTTCAAATTTAATTTTGTTTTTTAAATTTATACCTCCATGCAGCGTTTTAGCTGGGAACAGAGATGGTCTCTTACCAATGAAAACAATTTCCGAAACGCAGATGAAATAAATTTTATTCTATCATAATAAGTTTCAATCACAAAAAGGATTTGTTCCTCATTGGCTTCCCCAGCAACCTGTGTAAAAAACAAAACATTAATAAACTTAAATATATATATATATATATATATATATATATATATATATATATATATATATATATATACATATATATATATATATATATATATATATATATATATATATATATATATATATATATATATATATATACATATATATATATATATATATATATATATATATATATATATATATATATATATATATATATATATATATATATATATATATATATGTATGTATGTATATATATATATATATATATATATATATATATATATATATATACATACATACATATATATATATATATATATATATATATATATATATATATATATATATATATATATATATATATATATATATATATATATATATATATATATATATATAGTGGTACATACATTAACTAACTTATAGCCTACTGCCACAATAAAGTGCCGCTAAGAGTTTAGGATGGGGTCGCAATCTTTTATTTTCTTAGTTTTCGTTGTTTTTTTATTTTTCTGAAAAAGCTGTATGCTATCAAGATAAGAAAAACTGGAAAATAATTGCTGACTTATATATGGTATAGTGTGTGTATCTATTTATCTATCTATCTAGTTATCTATCTATTATATATATATATATATATATATATATATATATATATATATATATATATATATATATATATATATATATATATATATATATATATATATATATATATATATATCAGCCCTCGTAATTAGGAAAAATGTTAGAGGTTGGCAAAAAAAATTAGACATAAGTTTTACCATAAAACACAGAAACAAGGTCGACAATTTTTTGCTAACCCCAAACACTTTAATATCAGAAGTTAGGTAAGCATTGCCGAATTCATATAAATACACTTAATTTTGTGAAATTAGACCAGGACAGTCTTAATATAACTTTTGCTTTATATTTTAAAATACCAATATAATTCCATTTTTTTAGAAAATAAAGGATAAAAGAAGAATGAAAAAAAGGAAACTTTTTTTCATTCTTCTTTTATGAAGTCCTTCATATCTAGATAGTGCTCGAACCCTTAGTCAATATATGCACTGTAGAAACCACTATTTTTTATGACATCATTAATGGCGCTTCAAACAAGACTATGCAATGATTAAATATTACAAAGGAGACAAAGTATAAATTTAATAACTTTATATTTAACTTAAGTCTATTGGTTTATTATACTATAGTATATTTTATAAATGAATATATAAATGGGGAATATTACACTCTAAGTGAATTATAATTTTATTTTGTATTTCGTAAACTAAAACCAAGTTTTTATTACATTAAATTTGAAAGCAAACTTTTATGGTTAAACTAAAAAGGTGAAAATAATATATGAAGAGGAAGCGAAATGCTTCACAATACTGCTGATGATGTTTAGTGAGTGGGTTTTTTAATATATTTGTGTTCTGAATGGACCTCTGCCATGGTGCTGGTTTACCTTTAAATCACTTTATATAAATGTTTGAGTTTTATTCGAACCTCTGGCACGGTGTTCCTCCACTTGTAATTCACTGTGTATATATTTATGTTTGTGTAAATTCACCTGTAAGCTCCTGTATATTTATTTTTTATTAGTTTTATTAAGCTTAATGATTATTTGATTTTTTAAATTTCATTAAAAATGAAGTTGTTGTTGAAAGCCTTATTTTTATAAAATAATATGTTTTAAAAGATAAATATTTAAATAATAAAAAGTTAATCTATATTTATTCAATTTATTATACTTTATATAATTTTTAACTAAACTTATTCAACTTTGTCTAATTACAAAACTTTTAGTGCTCCCTAAGCAAATATTTTGACAAAATATTTTTACCCAATACTTGCCATAAAACACTCAAAAAATGAGTAAAAAATCAATTTTAAAGGAAACCAAAAAAAGAATTGGTCAGACAATTGCTGTGAAAAATGAATTTGACAAGAAAAATTAAATTAAAATTAGTTCTCATGTCGCAATTATGTCACTAAATCATTCGCCTATTACATAAAAAGTGGTATTGCAATCAACAAAATCAAATCTGATAGACCCAGAAAAAAAAGCACTGATAACAATACTACTAATTATGATGTGTCTTCATCGTACCTCAACTACAGATCACTTATGACAGACCGGTACACTCTACCGGTATGCTGGTAGAATAGGCCAATACAGATATATTAAGACAGTTGAAAACCAAGTCTCTTGTAAAAAAGTCTCTTGTCTCTTGTCCCAACAATTTATAATCAAGATATAGAGCAAAACACTGGCAAGTGCAAAGTTTTCTTAATTAATACAACAATGCTGTTATGCTTAAATAAGCATAACAGCATATTTTATTTAATTGAAAAAATTATATTGGTTAAAATAGCATACTTTAAGACTGTAGCTTTGAAAATAAAAAAAAATTACTAAACACTTTTAGTCATTGGTGTCCAGGAGCTTCAAAAATGTTTAGAAACATAAACCTATTAAAGGTAAATAAACCAGGATAATTAAGATAAGAGAACTTAAAAATTTTGAAAAAAGAATAGATAACGAGACTTTAAATACTCTGTAGGAACTAAAAAGTTTAAATACTCTGTAGGAACTAAAAAGTTTAAATACTCTGTAGGAACTATATTTTTCAATGTAGTCTATAAGTCTTTCAATATTGAAATCTCTTGGACACCAGAAAAGAATAGTGATTTTGTGACATAAAAACTGGAGTCCTATTTGAGACTTTAGATCCCAGTTTAAAATTATACTCTTCAGTGGAAATTATAACTTAAATCTGTATGATTACAAAAAGAACCAAAGTATACTTACTTTATCAGCAGGAACATTTGAATGAAATGAGAGGCCTGTTTCATAAAGTCCTAAAAATGATAACTTATGCTCCCTTTTCTGGAATGGTATCATGTCATCACCTTTTAAACCCATAGAACCTAGAAGTAGAAATTAAAAAGTTAACATTAAAACTAACTTTTATATTCATACATACATATGTTTTTTCCAATATTGAGAATTTAAGTGTTGTTGGTTAGTGACTGGCAAATAAAAAAAGCTAATAATCCAACATTTAAACAAAAATTAAGGCAAGCCATGGTTAATGTCCATGGTTCCTTAACTCAATTTATACCAGAAAATTAAGGTTCCGTGTTTCTCTTTTTAAATAACTATAACGCTATAAACATGGACTTTTTAAATTTATTTATCAAATGTTTTTGAAAAAACCTTAATGTTTTTATCAATGCACAGGAAAGCAAGAAAACTAACTGCTATTTATTTGTAAAATAAATAGCAGTTAGTTTTCTTGATTTCATAAAAAAAAAAATTAACAAGTTTTTCATGTAAAAGAATAAAAAGTCATTAATAATATTTAAATATAAAATACATGATTGCTTGTAATACCCCCATTGAAATAGTCTGCACTTTTGTTTTTGAATGAAATTTTTAGGAGCTTATTTAAAACTTTTTTTTAAGTTTTTAAATACATTTTTTAAACAGAGCATTTGTGATGTTCATTATCTCTAGTAATTCGTATTATCTCTAGTAATTCATATTTCAGACACATCAAAATGAATAAACGTAAGAAAAAAATTACCAAAATTTCTCATAGTTCTAGCGTACATAGCAAATTAGTTACAGACTGATAAAAATCGTAAATAAATTGCATATCAAAACTTTCAATTGTTGTTAAATTATTATAAAAGATAATATGTTTTTTTCATCAACTTGTATAGAATTTGGTAGCTAAAAACAACAACCACTCTAAAAAAAAGAATACAAAAGTTTTGTATTCTTTTTTTTAAATACATGACAATAACAATTATGCAACAAATAAATATGTGACACCAACAATTATACTACAATTAAATACGTGACACCAACAAATATACTACAATTAAATAAGTGACACTAACAATTATACTACAATTAAATACGTGACACTAAAAATTATACTACAATTAAATATGTGACACTAACAATTATACTACAATTAAATATGACACCAACAATTATACTACAATTAAATACGTGAAAATAACAAATATGGTACAAATATTTGACACTAACTATTATAAATGATAAACAATAACAATTACAAATAATTTGCCTTTACGCATATTTTGGTTTACAATTTCGAATTTATGCTCTAAATATTAAAAAAACAACCTTTGAACTTTGAAGTTAAACTAAAAATATTTAATATATTACTCTTAAGTTCTGTACTTAAAAATGTTCATAAACTCACACAGAAATATATAAAATAACTGGAACATAACACTATAAACTAAAGAGATGTTGAAAAGTTTAAACTATTATTTTTTTATTTAAATGATGTTAATGTTAAACAGGTACTTTTGTTTTTTTTAATGTTATTTAACTCTTTAAGGATGAGGGAGACAGTCAAGAAGGCTACTTTTATTTTAAAATATTTTTTTATGGTTACAACCCTCTCTCAACTCTTTAACTCCAAAACATGAACCTTTACAAACAAGGCTCTCTCTGGAGAAACAAGTTGAGTGCAGTACTACCAACTTGAAACTTCTTGTTTACAAAGCGACTACTCTACCACTATACCACTACTGCTTGTAAAAACCACTTTAGAAAATTATTTTAAAAGTTGATGACATTGGTTAATCTTAATTCAACCTGAGTTATTTTCCATAACTATATGAATTAAGATTTTTTTGTTGAAAGTCTTTGTATGTAAACTATAGTTTAGTGTAAGCCAATAAAACTACAGTTTATCATATTTAATAAAGTAAACGTTTAGGGTAAGCTGAGTTATTTAATCATTAAAGTAATTTTTAATTTATATACCTGATATATCAAGAGACATCAACATGGGTAACTGTGCCAGGGCTGCTAAGGTATTTGATGTTACAATTTTAGATGATTTATCCAAGTAAAAAGATCCAGATGGGTTACTCGAAATATCCAAATGAACTAATTTCTTGAAGTTTAAAAGTAAATCAACTAACCTAGCATTATTTTTCAACTGTGTGCAGTTGTATAGTGATAGCCACTTCAAGCTGAACATAAAAAAAATGTATATTTATAAATTTTGCTTATCTATCTGAATAAAATTTATCTTAAAACTGCTTTTATAAGTAATAACAGCCCTCGGAATTAGGAACCGCATTCAGCAATGCTGACCTAACTGCCCACATAAAAGTTTTAGACATTGGCTAATAAATTCCAACATCGTTTTAATTTTCTTGTTTATAGTTTTTTTTTAAACTTGACAAATGCTATTATTTAGATAAGATTCTATTTTTTATTGTTAAGAATGCACTAAACTAATAGATAATTAATGTATGTACTGAAGCCTTCGGCAGCAGGCTATTTCAGTGTGATGTCAGAGATGTTATCTAAATACACATTAATACTTAATATATATTTAACTATGAATGCATGTTTAGATAACATAAGATGTCACACTGAATTAGTTTGCTGCCCGGGACTTCACTATATACATTGACTATCTTATAACCTGCTGTTAAAGAGGAGTGCTGCTACATCAACTAAGAGTTTGGCATGGGACAGCAATCTTTTTTTTTTAATATTATTGATTTTTTTTTTTTTTCTGAAAACGCTTTATGCTATAAAAGTAGAAAAAACTGGTAAGAATATGTTATCTATATATATTTATATATAGATAATATATATATATATATATATATATATATATATATATATATATATATATATATATATATATATATATATATATATATATATATATATATATATATACATATATATATATATATATATATATATATATATCCAATTTGAATAAAATTTGTTTTATATATATATATATATATATATACATATATATATATATATATATATATATATATATATATATATATATATATATATATATATATATATACATATATATATATATATATACATATATATATATATATATATATATATATATATATATATATATATATATATATATATATATATATATATATACAAATATATATATATATATATATATATATATATATATATATATATACATATATATATATATATATATATATATATATATATATATATATATATATATATATACATATATATCTAATTTGAATAGAATTTGTTATCTATATATATTTATATATAGATAATATATAAATATATATATATATCCAATTTGAATAGAATTTGTTATCTATAAATATTTATATATAGATAATATATAAATATATATACATATATATATATATATCCAATTTGAATAGAATTTGTTATCTATAAATATTTATATATAGATAATATATAAATATATATACATATATATATATATATATCCAATTTGAATAGAATTTGTTATCTATAAATATTTATATATAGATAATATATAAATATATATACATATATATATATATCCAATTTGAATAGAATTTGTTATCTATAAATATTTATATATAGATAATATATAAATATATATACATATATATATATATCCAATTTGAATAGAATTTGTTATCTATATATATTTATATATAGATAATATATAAATATATATATATGTATATATATATATATATATATATATATATATATATATATATATATATATATATATATATATATATATATATATATATATATATATATATATAATATCCAATTTGATTTGAAACATGGGTAAATGAAATGCCAATAGAAAATACTATACAAACGCAATGTGAATAGAAAATTACAATATAAGAAAATTATAACTTAAAACTTTAATTTTGTAAACACTTCAATTAAACTTCATTTAATACATAATTTCTTTCAATACTCGAATGTTTCAAGAAAGTTAACAGCAAAATATTATTAAATAAATATATCAAAAATTAAGTTGATGATTTATTCTTTAATACTAAATCAATAGGAAGAACTGCACTTTTGTTTTATCATAAATAGTTAGAAAAAAATAGCAATAAGGCACAAACAATATACAAGAAGTTGAAAAGTATAAAGAGCCTTCATTGATGTAGTGTCCTAGATACTATTTCATAAGATTTGTCAATAAAAGAACTTCGTATAAAAAATAAAATTTTTTAAATAAGCACAGTCTTCATCAATTTTTAAATCTCATGATTGCTCTCACGGATATTATCTTGAGCATACATAAAACTTGATGACAACTTATTACAACTTTACGAAATAACACAATGGGCAATTTTTTTATCCAAAGCCCTGACACATACATATGATATATATATATATATATATATATATATATATATATATATATATATATATATATATATATATATATATATATATATATATATGTAAATTATCTCTTGAACCACTATATTTACTATAAGATTTATTTTGGTTCAAGTATTTTCAATGATAAGATTATTGGAGAGATGTCCCTTCAATCCTAACCCTAACCCTAACCCTGATGCTCATATATATTCAAATAAAATATTTTGTGACAATAGCATTCACCCTTGCAGCTGTTAATAGTCTTCTCCAATATTAGACATATAAAGGATAATCCATGATTGGTTTGTTTTTGAGGACATTTCAGTATAAAGTAAAACATTTTAGTATAAAGTTATTCTTGACCGTGTCAATGAAGTAAGATTCATAACAATTACGGTAAGTCGAAAATGACATTATCATATGACCCACGCACCAAAAAATAATATTGCATATGCAGAAAATGCACTTGTATTATGTGAATTATGTTGTATTATGAGAATGCTATTCAAATAATACCAACATAAAAATTAGCCTGATTGCAAGTGGTAAAATGTTATACTCTTCAAATGAATGTTGAGGTAGATATGCAAAAATGTCATGTTATGCTAAAATCACCTAAAGAGAGATTTGATCTGAATTGTATATTAAAATGAACCAAGAAAGGTAGTAGCAGTACAGATTTGCATGAATTATGCAGGACTTGGGAGCTATCTAATATTTGAAGATCAACTTAATGCTGATGGATATAATAAAATTTTAAAAAATTGCCTTCTTCTCTCAATCGATATATATATTTAAAGAAGAAAACAACTATACCATATATCAACAAGATTGTGTGTCATGCCACAGTGAAAAATATGTAAACTATGGTATGAAGGTAAATATCAACTCTTAGCTCTCTAAAGTCTTAGCCTCCTAACAGCCCTAACTTAAATTGTATGGAAAATCTATGCTCATGGTTAGATAATCATCTTGGGAAAATTGAAATTTCAAATGTTGAATAATTGAAAAATGAAATAAGGAACTGCTTGACAACTTTCCTTAAGGAATAATTCAAAACCTTGTGAATTCAATGCAAAAGAGAAATCAATGCTTACAAAAAAAGAAGTAAATCAATCTCAAAGAAAAATAAAAAAAAAGAGCAAATAAAAAATTACAAAAGTTTACAAAAGAAAGATGGCTATACAACATATTAAAATGATTTTTTTTATTTCTATATATTATTTACAATATAACTTGATTTTTTACTCTTTTTTTATCTTAATTTAAAATTATTTGTTATTATTTTACTTTTTTTTCTTAATTATATTTATATTTTACATATAGTATTAAAAAAAACACGCACACACATTTTAGTTTTCAATTAAATTTTATTTTGAAAGTGAGCTTTAATTTATGGCCAATATTGTATAACTATAAAGAAAGAAAGGACAAAATTCAAAAACTGTTTACAAAAACTTTGTTGCTATCAGAAGTAGAGACAAAAAAAAAGTTTTTATGAACTGAAACAAGTTACATAAAATGTCTTAATTAATATTAGCAGGGGTTATTAGACAAGGCTAGGATATAATGCTTAAATAAAAAACATACAGTACATAATTATTATGTACTGTATGTTTAACAATACACTTGTCATTTATATATATTGATATTATATACAATATATATATATATATATATATATATATATATATATATATATATATATATATATATATATATATATATATATATATATATATATATATATATATATATATATATATATATATAACATATTTAAAATCAACTTCAAAAAGTTTTTTTCTGAATCTTTTAAGAAGCAAAATTTTTTTGTTTCAGTTCAGTAAAAATTTGACTGACAGATTGGTACACATCATACACCATTGCATCATTATAAAAGCATTTCAAACAAGGAAATCAAAGTTTGGTTCAACAATAAAACTTTTACGTTCTGCACAGTTCTATAAATCTATTATTATCAAACAATTTTATGCTAAGGCATGTTATTATCAATATGCACAGCTTGCAAAAGTAGGATTAATTCTGATAACAAAAGTTCATTTTACAAAATAACTACAAATGATTCCTTTTATTTCAAAACTATTATTGGTAATATTAAACATGTTTATATTAAACATGTTTTATTGATAATATTAAACATATTTATCAGTATTGGTAATGATTTTTTTAAACTTGAAAAGAAACTTTTTTTATTAGATTATTGTTACTGTAAATATTTTTTTTATCAAAATAGGCAAGCATCTAAATGTACTGAAGCAGTTGTATTAAATTGTATGAATTCTTTTTATTAAGTTACACCCCAATTATATTCTATTTTTATTGAGTTAAATTTAAATTAAATTTTACGTATTAAAATGAAATTAGATTTCAATAATTGCATAAGAAAAATATTTTAGGGGCAGCTTAAGATTTTTAAAAATTTAATTGATCTTTAGTAATGATAATTTAAAGAAATTATGCAAATGTCAATTTTGATCTCTAATAAAATCTTTAATTATAATATTTATCTATTTTTAATTATAAAAATATTTTTTACTAAAAACACCTTAAAAAAAACACAAAAAAATATCTATAAAATAACAAAAATAACAAGAAAATCTTTATGACAAAATCTAGAACAATTATCATTTTATAAAAATAATAATTATTTTTAAAATCATTATAATATAAAATTATATATATATACATAATGTATATAATATATTACATAACATATTATAATACAACTTTATCGGTTGAATCTGATTGTTATTGAGACTTTTTTATATAAATAAATATTTTTTTTAAGCTGCCTCTTAAAAAGGTTTATAAAATTAATTTCGAATACATTTAGAGACTAGTCCAATTAGATCTTTTTGATCTGGTACAATATATTTATGCACACTTAAAATGTTAGCTTTATATAATTTTGTATATCTACCTTAACTATACATTGATGCATTTCTTTAAATAGATAAATATAGTATATATAAAAACAAAATAACATATAAATTACTTCTTCAAACCCCGAAGTTCTTCTAATAATATCATTTTAACTGGTGTTTCTGATAGATCCAGCCATTCCAAGTGAACTAAGTTTCCAATATGCTTAAAATGATTCCTATTAAAGTCTATATCTGCACCCCTCAAGTTTAGTTTCACCAAGTTAACAAGTTCTTTTAAAACTAAACAACCTTTAAAACCAGACACAAAACTTAAATCTAGTTGCTGCAAAGTTGATGCACAATTAGCAATTGCAGAAAATGTTTGAAGTGAGAACTTACACTCACTTAAATAAAGAGTGCTTAATGGGTGCATCATCAACTTTTCAACTGCATTCTGGTTAAGAGAACAATTTATTGATTTAACGGATAGGTCAAGCTGAGAAAGTCTACATCTTTTAGTGTCTGTAAACAATTCAATATAAAAATCCGGATGGTTCTTCAGAATATATTGTACCAAAGGTTCGCTGATGTTGCTAGGTATAAAAAAGTTTGGCTTAAGACATATATACTGCACAGAATCTGAAAGGGATTTGTTGTTAAATAAATCAGCAGGTTGTGTGCACTTTTCAACAAGTGTATGCAGTGGGAATTGCGAGCATACTTTTAAAGCAAGAAAACCTAAAGATGGCACTACATTGGATTGTGTATCAGGCATTGTATCTTTTGGAAAACCTAAAAGATAATAAAAGCCAATAATAATATGTATTTTATAATTATTAAACTTTGCTAATATATAAAAATATAAACTATAATACTAATAAAAAATTTAATAAAAATAATTGAAAACAATTTTTTTTTATTAATTCAATGTTTGCAAAAGTAAATATAACTAAAGAAGAAATTTTTTATACTTTTATATCAACTTTTGAACACCAATTCATTAAAAAAAAAATTACCTCAAAAAAAAATTCCATGCATGCAAAGCTTAAAAATATCTATTTTTAAATTTAATCTTTACAAATTTAAAAAAAAGAACATCAAACATACTAAACAAGAATTTGTTTTTCAAAGAACTGTTACACTATGTTTAATTGACTAAGACAAAAATATTTTTCAGAACTAAGATAATCCATTGTTTTCCTAACTAAGATTATAATGCAGTAAATTATTTTTAACACAACTCAATTTGAACAACTTGGTAAACAACGTAAATATTTGAAAACACCTATAATCTGACAATAATAATAATAAAAAAAAGATTAATGGGTCACACCCTACTAAACTATTATAAATTTAAGTGAGTAATTTTATTAGTTATAAATTGCTTATACAATAGTCGGAGTTATTCAAAAAGTAAACCAATTTAAAAAGCAACACCCTAGCAACAACAAAAATAAAAGAAAAAACATTCTAAAAAAGGGCATCAAATAATAGAAGTTCTAACATAATTGGAAGAAAATGTTTTGTTATTTACTGACAAACTTGCTAAATACATTAATAGCTTTCCTCTATTTTATTTAAAAAAAAACTTTAAATAAAATGTATTTATGTTATTTTTTTAGAAAATTTTTTAAATTTCAATTAAAAAAAAATTTTTTTTTTGTTGCCTTTTTTCATAAAAGTTCTAAAACATGCTTTTAAAATTATGTATAATATTTTTAAAAATTGCATGTCATAAAACAAAAAATGGGGAAAAGAAACTTACTAATGTTCTCAATACCATCCATAAAACAATTTATATTTGATATAAATGTGCAATATATAATACAGTGTAAGTGTAATATTAGTTAATTCATTTTCAGTGGAACACCTACATAAAAATTGTAACTATTAATTCAAATCTATAAATCATAATTATTTAAAAATCAGACCTTTTCCTTTATAGAAGAACTAAACTTGTAATAAAAACTTGCAACCAATTTTCATTCACTGAAAGTAAAAAAAAAAAAATTGGTGTAAAATAAAATAAAAATGGGGCAAAAAATAAAAATAAAAATATATAATGAATTTAATAAATAAAACACAAACATAAAACTAATAAAATAAATAAACCATAAAATAGATTAATAATAAACCATAAAACAGACTAATTAAATAAAAACATGAAGTAAATTAAAGAAAAATCAAAACAAACAAAATAGTAATGAAATAATAGACATATTTTGCAATTAAATTAAATGAGTAATTAAAGAAAATGAGTTTAATGATTGACAAATATAAGATATGAAATTAAATTTTTCTTGTTTTATTATTTTACCGGTTAACTTTCAGTTTTATTATTTTACCGGTTAATTTTCAGTTTAGCTGCAACTGTAAAAGCTTTTAATAAACTTTTAAATTGAAAATTTAAAACTTAATAAAAACAACATGTATTAGTTGTGTCTGTTATTTCCTTTAAAAAATTGTAATTAAATAGAATGTGTTTATTTAGTTAAATAAATAAAGACAACAAGTCTTGAAATGCTGATATAAAGATGCAACACACTGAGTCGGTATATTGCTTCTAATTTTAATCTTTATTTAGTTTATTCTGTTTTAGTTTCTGGTGTATAAAACACACCAAATCAAATAATAACAAATTAAATTGTAAATAAACTTTTGTTTTAAGAATTAGAATAGAAAAAATATACCAAATACGTAGCAATATGTAGCTTTAAAGGCAAACTAAAAGACCAGATTTATTTTTCCTCATTAAATTTATTTTCAACTATATTTGCAGATAATATACAAACACTTGTCAAATTTATATTGGACAAGTGTATGTATATAAACTTGTTAATTATTTATGTTATTCATTTTTATTTTGCATATTTATATTAATAAACTGGAAAAAATATTGTAAACAGTTTAAAAAAATATAAATAATATTTTAATCTCATTTTTATGTTTTTTTTGTATTTTTTTTTAAATCAACTTTAGACACCAATTTGTAAGATCACCAATTTGCAATCTTTATAATATTTTGCTATTAATCAGGTTATTTAGTAATTCGACTCAAAAGTAAACAATAAACAGTTGATTAAAAAAAAAAATGACAAAAGCAACCTGTATAATAATAAATTGGTTTTTATAAACTATTATAATATGCTTATTTTAACTACTTGTATAACTTTCATTATGTTCAAAATAGGAATTATATTAATAAAACATGTTATGTAAAAAATTTACGATATGAAGAGTTTATGGGAAGAAATAGTCTTATTTTCACTTTTTGAACTTATTTTGCTAATCTAAAATAATTTTTAATTTGTGTTTTAAATTATAATTTAAGTTTGAAAAAAAACATTATTTATGATTTGAAAAAAAAAAAAAAAAAATTAAAAAAAAAAAAGAAAATAAAAAAATTGACAGTCTTTACAAAGAAAAAAGACAATGAACATACTTTCTTGAAATTTTGCAGTCACATGATCTCAGAATCCAATTATTTCCTTTAAAGATTAAAATAAATAAAAAAGATTGATTAGAATGAACTACTAGATGTTGCTTAAAAGCAAATTATCACAATTTATTTTGAATTATCACAAATTCATGAAAAAAAAGTTTCTGCTCATACAACTGGTGGAAATTGTAACTCCATTATATTAAATGTTTTGAAGTTAAATGAAAAATGACCACATAAATAAAATGAAAAAAGACCACATAAACAAAATTCAAATTGTTCTTAAGAAAAAAAATAGACATTTGTTTACCTGAAGAATTAAATATAAATAAAATATTTAACATGTTTATGATTCTCCACTCAAATATAAAGATTTTTTATGGGATATTAAATTTAAAGGATATTATTTAACAACCAGTTTAATATTGCTTTTGGTAATCCAGACATATGTTCTATCAAACAGATGTTTTAATTGCAATGAATTGAAATTAAAAACTGATGTTGCTTCTAAATATATTTTAGCTGATTCCAAAACACAAGATATAAAACTAAATTTAAAAAAATAGGCTGAAACTTTCTAAAAATAAAAAAAAAAACAATATTGAAAACATTGAAATAGTTAAATTTTAAAGACATTACATTTAAATATATATAATAAACTCTCGCAATGATTCTGCCAAATATCTCTAACAATTGTTTTTAATGTTTGAAAAATTTGAAATTATTTATTTCAAAACTTTTTTTGTTGGATAGCAATGATGTTTTTTAAATTTTTATATGATGAAACTGCAACAAAAAAGAATTCAAATAAATTGAAATCAATGCATTATATAACTTTATTTTATCAGAAAGTCCATGAGTCAAAGAAATGAACTTGTTTTTTGATTCTTGTGCAGGTTAAAGTAAAAACTATACAGTATTTACATTTCTGAACTGACACACATGTATATATGTTTAATGGTATGAAATAAAAAAGTAAAACAACTACTATTGTAACTAAAGTCAGTAAACTTAGATAAAAGTGACTGTTTATTTAAAATGTCTAAACTTAAAGTTAATACTTGAAACCAAGATTGCTCAATTAAGGTCCCAAAAGTCATGTTGGAATTCTGTAAAAAAGTTTTTATTTTATGATTGGAAAAATATACAATGAACTTCTGACTTTAATTCAATCAGTTAATTTAATTCAATAATCATAATAATAATAAATCATACAAGAAGCACTATTTTTGATTTTTTTTTTTAATGTTATTGTTGTTGTTATTGTTTTGTTATTTTTTAATCAAAGAAAAACATATCGGTCTATATTTTATATAAGCATTTTTAACTAATATATTTAAAAAAAGTAGCAACAGTAAAATAAATTTAAAAAAAAAACAGCAGATTCTGTTTAGACTCTGCTAGACAAATTTTATAATATTCAATCCGTAATATATAATTTTTGTTATGAACTTAATTGAGTTGAAAACTTTATACTCAAATTAATATTAAAAAATGTCTGTAAAACTTTGGATTGCTTTAAATATACATTAGTTAAACAAAAAATTACGTTAACAAACCACTTCGGGAAAAGAAAAAAAACAGTATTAAAACTCTCAAAACCACTTTTAATAATAAAAATACTTAAAATAATTACTGAAAGTGATTTTAAGAATTTGTAAATATATACGTAAACATTATAAAAAACATTAATTTCTTTAAATAATAATTTTAAAATGTTCGAAAATAAATCTCTTATAAATAAAGTTGAATAAAGAGCACATTCATATTTGACTATCAACCCGCAAAATCAGCCATTATGTTTGTTTACTATTTTTCGCAATACTTAAAAATGAATAAAATGCTGTATAGAACATTTAAAGATGTAATGTATGTAGCTGTATCATCTATTCAAAAAATGCACAATAAATAATAATATTTTGATAGTATACAATGTTTTGTTCAATTACAAAGTCTTAAACCCTTTATTTCTATATAAATTAATAGAAGCCAGGGGCGGATTTAAAATTAAGAACGTATTTGTTTTTTGAGTTAAGTCGCAGATTCATAAGATTTCTGTATTTATTATTACGCCGAATAAGGATATTTTGCCGAAATTTGCAATTAATCTAAGAAAAAAAACACGCAAAAATGCAGGAAATCACCCACGATCCGTCTGAGAGTGGGGTAAATTATTAGTATATTAAATAAAAGTAATTGTTTAAATAAAAGTTTATTATTGAATTTAAAGTTTCGCTAAAAAAAAAGACACTTTTTTAAATTAAGCTTTTGTGAAACTTCATTGAAACTGAAAAAGCTCCATTTAAAATGCGTGTCTAAGTCATATTTTGTACTTTTTGTTGTAACAACAAAAAGTACAAAATAAGACATAGGCACTCACTAAATTTAAATTTGCCAGACGAAACCAAAAATAAAAATAAATTTTAAGCCAAACAAAAATAGTTGATAATAGTTAGTAAGACGAGACAAAAAAGACAAGAAATTTTTAGATAGACATTCTATTTAGACATATAAATTTCTATTTTGTATAAGACAATAAACTCTTTAAAAGAATTTCAATGCAATAAATAATGCCAATTAATAAAAAAAGTCTTTTCGAATGCTTAGTTATACAGTATGAGTATTGAGTTACATAAAGTTAGTATTAAATAAACTTCAAACAAAAAAATACATAAATTTCAAAATATGCCAATAATAAAATATGCCAATAAGTTTGAATTTAAAATTAATTTTGTCTGAAACTTTTTTTTTATACTAGACAATTATTAAATAACTTAATCACTTAGCCAATCAAGCGAGAAAGTAAAATAATATTAAATTAAAAAGCGTTAACACTGTAAAAAATTTGTATCCGAAAATTCTATCTAATATGCTTTTTAAGGTTTTGTTCAGAATTTTTTACTGTTACCACTTAAAATATTTTTATAAAAGGTTTTTATACATTTGAAAGAGCTAAACCTGATTAAATTTTTTTACTCAACTCAAAATCTGACTTAGTTTAAACGTAACTTTGATAGTTTAACTTTAAAGTTTGAAAATTGAAAAACTGCGTTAAACTTTCGGTGATAAAGTTCCTTTATTTAAAATGAAGTTTCTTTCTAATTTAAAACGTGGTATTTTAAAAACAATAAAAATAAAAATTTTAAAAGTTATTTTAAAGCATTTTATTACTATCGCGTAAGTATTACTTTCCGTAAATTAAATTTGTCACTCTTACCGTAAACTTTTACTTAGAACAAAAAGTATTTAGAAACATCATAATGTAAATACAAATCATTTATCAGAACAAGTAAACAATATTTATGTTTGAAAAAATTTTTCTAAAAAAAAAAAGCTTTAACATTATTTTAAAATAATCCTAATTTACTAATATTTATAACTTTCTAAACTTTAAATAACAAACTAGTTTTAAATGTTTTAAGAATACTATCTTATAAAGTTTTTTTTATTCTGAATTCGTTACTTTTATTTGTATGTTGCAAAATTAGGAAGTTATTTGATAAAAACTAAAAAAATGTAATACGCTGTTTACGGTCAATAATAAAAATTCTAGATGTCCTCAATTACTTAGGATTAACAATTAATAAAATGATAATGTGTTTATTTCCTTTTTAAATTCATTTCTATTTCTACAAACGAATTATCAATTAAATGTCAAAAAAATGACTTCAATGAAGAAATTATTGAAAATACTTTAAATAATTAAGATCATGTATCAAAGTCGACGTTGGTTATCAGAAATAACAGTAAAAATGCGTTTCAATATGGACGCGGAAGGCCAACACCACTCTCAGTTCAAATTTAGAAGTTGTTGATTCATATTTCTAAAATAATTTCTATTGTTTAAATAACGCAAAACAACAGTATTTAATCAAAATCTTTACAATAATAGCAATATGATTTTTTTAAAATATGGAAACATGAAATAGCTCTGAAACGCAAGGCATAAAGCAACGCAAAAAACAGAGGTTATTCACTTCAGATGTAGCTGACAACTATTTGAACAACTACACGAAAATTTACCATGAATAAAGTTGATCATTAAAAAACTTCACAGCAACGAGTGTGATTTTAGTGGTGACCGTTGAAAATTTCAATTTTATGCCGAAAAAATAAAATCATATGATATTCTGAAAGCAGCAGTTTATGATGATCACAGCACTCGCCATCGAAAGTTATTAAAATATGCAAGATTGATCCTTTACTTACCAGTTTGTTAACGTTATTTTGTGCAACCACTGGACGCAGAAATAGATTGTCACATTGAATGACATGGAACTTTACCTTGAAAAAGTATTAAAATTATATTATTAATTATATAAATTTAAAAGTGTCGATGAAGCTAAATTTACGCAGTCAGTGTATATAAGAAAGTATAGTTATTTTCTTGCGACAAATCAAATATTAACAAAGTCATAATAGTGTCAGCATCACAATCAGCATCGGTTATACCATCAACTGCGCACCATCAACAATTTGATTAACATCCACACCCACAACACCAACGTTGAGTACTGTAACTATTATAATAAAATAATATTTGCATTTCTATTGAAGCTTATTTAGAATCTGCAACGAGTCTGCAAATTATTTTTGCAACAGAAAAATGTCTAGGATAAACATATTAACAAATCGAAATAAATCTTGAAGCTTGCAAAACTTGAAAGAGAATCATTGGCTAAAGCTGACACAAGGGAGAATGTTCAACCAATAGAAGAAAAACTATATAAAAAATTATATATATAACGTAAAATAGACGACTCATATAAGTAGTCTATGTTATATCAAGTCATATATCATACCAAGTAAGCAGAAAACAGTAGAATGTAAATGTAATGCAGATTTTTTTTTACATCTTATTCTTGATTTTTTTTAAATAAAAATGAAATAATACTTTTTTTATCACAAAACTTAACACTTGATGAATAATAAAATGAATGCTGGCCAAAATTGCAGAGAACTAACTCTGTCTATTGCATTTTTAAAACGTGTTTTAAAAATAAATCAAAACAAGTTTTGACAGTTGTCTGGATTTCTTTTTGTTTAGTTGTGCTTTTTCTTTGGTTGTGCTTTTCTGATAAAAATATATCTAAACTTTATTTTATTTCTTGCAGTCACCCCGGTAGTCCTAGATTTAACCAAAATTTTTTCAGGAGCATCGTGATATTTTTACATAAAGTATTTCTGATAAAAAAAACAAACCAGTACATCTAGTTTCTTATTCAGAAATGAACCATGTATAGACACGTGTTTGTCACGATCCAGGCGTGAACGAAAAACACGTGTATACGTGTATTACGGGCAGTTTTACTCGAGAAAGTTTCACACGTGGTTTTTAAGTCAAATTTAAATGTCACGTGCTTTTAATAGTGGCTTTACATTCCTTAAAGAAATTTATTAATAATTTAACTGGTAATTATGGTAAATAGTAATAATTAATTTCACGGAATGGAAACCATTCTTGGCAAGTGTTATTCTTTTTGTTTAGAAGGTTTTAAACACGCAACAGAAATCAAGCGTAACTTTTTTCATAGTTGTGCCGGAT